ATAATAATAATAATAATAATAATAATAATAATAATCTTTCCTCAAACAATATAATTTTGACTCCTCTGTTAATATTTTTGCCCTCCCATTCCATTTTATCACAACCCTCTTTAAAGCGCGATGTCCCAAAGTGGGCACAGTATCTGAGCAGAGTGGAAATACCCATTCCTGTGATTTAGAAGCTAGACTTCTACAATCACATTTGCCTCTTTTGCAGCCGCATCACAATGCTGATTCAGTTTGTGGGTGTTGTGTTGGCAGCATGCCTGCTGTTGTAATGGCATCCTCTAAATCCCCCAGAGATCCTGAGCTAGTTTACCTCCAGGACAGGATTTCACCATAAGTTAGGCTAGTATTTATTAACACACATTGTAGTATACTATCATGTTGGATTGTGGAGTAGGTCCCACTAATTTTATTGGACTTAATTCACTTAGATCAAAGTGCTCTAGCTTCAATGTTTTGTGGATTAATTGATCAGTTAATTGACCTTCTAGAACTGCATTTAATTAGCAGTTTTAAAGTTGACAAATTATAGACAATCCATTTATACACTGTGAATGAGTCAAAATAAGGTGAGGCACCAAGGAGCGTCTACAAGTCACAGGATAATCATGCTTATCTAATCACATTACTGAATATTGTAATCATTAAATATGGAACTAGAACACCTGCCAGTACTGTTGAATGGTTACTAAAGTCTGGCAGCTGGAAGTTCATAGAGGGATATTACTTTTTTCCCTTTGTACAAGTTTACACTAAGATTTTCTTGTACTATGTAAAATGTCCCTATGAGACGAGGCTATCTTAATGGTATGAGATTTTTGTCAATAAAGATTGTGCTGTATCAGTACAGGAAATATCTCTAAATTTAATTTGACAGAGTGGCAAACTTAATCTTCCATGATTTATTATTCATGTGAACATTACTATTTTGGTTGGTGTCTCATTTAAAGAATAATACTTTTAAGAAGCAGCAATAAACCTTATGGAAAACTACAGCCGTAAGAAAGCTAGTGTTGGACTGGGATTTAGCAGACCTTCACCATGAAGTCTACTGGGTGACTTTCAGCATAACCTACCTCACAGGGTTATTGTGAAGGTAAAATTAGAGAGAGGAGGATCATGTATGCCACCCTGGACTCCTTGAAGGAATGGTGGGCTATAAATATAACAGACAGATGCATATCATTTGGAATCATTGTCTATAGATTTAAAATATGTTGTTGTTAGTTGAAAAGTCGTGTCTGACCCATCACGTTGTGTCTGACCCATCACGACCCCATGGACAACTTTCCTCCAGGCCTTCCTGTCCTCCACCATCCCCCGGAGTCCACTTAAGCTCACGCCGACTGCTTCAGTGACTCCATCCAGCCACCTCATCCTCTGCTGTCCCCTTCTTCTTTTGCCATCTATTGTTCCCAGCATTAGGCTCTTCTACCAGCAATAAAAAGTATAAAGGGAGACAGTAGTCCTACTTTTAGTTTTAAGCAATTATTTCTGCATAGCTGATACTGTGAGGGTGGTCAGTAAATAACAAGCCTGCAGCTTAAATAATAATAATAAAAATCCTTACAACAGTCCTATTAGCAGGGAACTTTTTTTTAAACAAGGATAATTATTGTTCCAACTAATAAAATAGTTTTTAGATTTGTCATTGCCTGGTGTGTGACAGAATACAGTTTTTGTGGCCATTGTGGTTGACAATCAGATTACGTTTCATCAATTTTACTCTTAGCTTTTCAGGTCAACAACCTCCCTGAACCTATAAGCAGTCCATGAAGCTGCACCGAATATCGCACAGAAACACTGAAGGTATGCCTCCATGGTTTTCATTTCATTTTTTAACCTTCCCTTTTTTCAGATCAGCATTTCAAGAATTAGTTCTGTCTTGTTCTACAAAGCTATGGCATTTTAAAATGTGACAGCATTGTTCTGAAATAAAAGAACCACTTAGTGAAATCTTACATGTCTGCTAGCAAAGCTATGCTTATTTTTTATTTAAAGCAGCCCTGCCCTTTCTTCTTTAACCAAGTGCTACTTTAAAAGGTTCTGCAAACGGCTCAAGTTCTGCAGCTGTGATATTCAACAACAGATGAGATTTCTGGCATTTCTTCTCTGGAGTTTAATTACTTTAACTAGCATGTTCCACTGCTGCAGATGACCATGTACTTAACTAGGCTATCTAGGGAGCCTTCAGTTCTGGGACTTGACTCTCAGAACCATGGAGGGAACTGACAATTCAACATTATTTTCCAGACCCTGAATAATATTTCCTTCTTCCCTTTAACCAAAGCCATACTGTTGCATACATTTGTCTTTTATTCCCTTTGCCTCTGCCATAGAAAATATATGCAAAAGGAAATCCTCTGTAGCCTGAACTAGCCAAATGTTTCAGCTTAGCTCCAAGGCTGTTGAAATAAACAGGCATTGTTTTGTTCAAATATATTTTTTTCAGAAAACTATGAACATGGAAGCCACAGATTCTGGAATGGCTTATTTCCTCTTCTGTATCAGATCCAGAGACCCCAGCAGGATTGGTTCTAGTTTATTTGAAATGCAAAAAGTAGGGGATGGGTAGAATTTCTATTTGACTACTCACTCAAACAAGTAAGGGAGAACATTGAAAAGAGTCTTCCATGGTGCTTTAAGTGAATGGGGGGAGGAAGACACACCCAGGCTAACTTTTTGCTTGGAGAGGGGGAATTCCCCAGGATGGAGGCCCTAGACAGCTCTGCTTGGTGGTTTTGAACAGGATCCAAAAGTAATTTAAAGGGCTCCCCTGTAGCCCAGAGAGGTATGCTGAAGTACATCACCATTCAGTGAAGAAAAAAAAGTGGTTTGGTTTTGGAATCCTAGAAATACCTATGATTCTTTCATGCCAAGGAAGAGCCATTCTTCTCACCACATTCATTAAATGGCTAAAAAGAGGCAGGTTATTTTTTCTAGGGAACATATTGTATAATGAACCTCCATCTTGTCACTTTTCTGTAGAAGCTAGGAAAAGTACTCATTATTATTAGGTTACTCTTATAACATATTCTTCTTGCTCCCAATATGACTTACAAGGATCTCCTCTTCTCCTTTCTATCCTCACAATGACAACTCTGTGAGGTAGGTTAGACTGAGCTTCACCCAGGGAGCTTCATGATTGAGTGTAACCGGGACCCAGATCTCTGGGGCTCAAGTCTAACCCTCTAAACACTGCAACACTGGCTCTCACTTTGTCAGAACCCTAGACTGTGGGATAAGTAAATAGTGACCTTATTCTGATTATAGTTGCAGTTATCATTGATAACCACAGTGCCAAATGAGGAAAATGTGTGACTGAATCTCACAAGGTGGTAAAAAAAAAATCAGCCATGGCAAAAGCTTGAAGACCTAGATTCTTTTGATCAGAGCAATCATGCTGGGGGAAAGAGGCATTTCACCCCTTCACCTCGCACCTTTCCTGCCATCCAAACAGCCCTTGGAAGCTCCTAGTAGTTCCACTGAGGAAAACAGATACCTGCTTGTTTTCTAGCCCTTCTACATAGAAACAGAGCAAGTCAGAAGGGGTCTCCTGGGCCATCTAGTCTGACCCCCGGCTCCAGCCAGCTCCACTCACGACATGCCCACCATGTGGATGTCCAGCCTATCCTTGAACACCTGCACCGATGGGGCCTCAACGACCTCTCGTGGAAGCCCATTCCACACCCTCGGGGTCCTGACTGTCAGGAAGTGCTTCCTGGCATCCAAAGCTCCCTGAGCTTTGCTCCCTTGGAGTGCGTCCTGCCTTCCTCCGCAGGGAAGAACAGGTCTCGACCCACCTCCATGTGACACCCCCACGGAGGTGGGTGGAGGTCTGATAGCATGTTGGGGGCAGATAAGGAAGGATTTGAATCAGGAAAATGGTGCAACACCTTTCTGGTGTCTAATTCTATCAAAACCACATGACTTTATTTAAAGAAATGGGAAAGCCAATCACAGCCTCTCATGTTGCACCTATTTCAGCCCTGGTGATCTGGAATTATCAACTAGTTAATGTTTAACCCCCCACCCCTTCTATTTCATGGTCCAGGCTATGTAAAAGCTAGAAAACCCAAAGCTGAATCAGCTGTAAAAATGTGAGGGAAAATGAGCCATTTCCCACTGACCATTTCGCACAGCTTGGTTCCCACCCCACCATTGCCCTTTCTTGTCTCAAGTTTTAGAATCACTTACAACCGGCTGTGGGCTGTGGGATAGCAGCAGCTGACAGACAGGTGTGCAGAAGGACTCCTTCCAGGTCCTGGTTAGCCCAACAGATTATGAACACTGGAATATTACTGTTCTTGGGGCACAGCTCTACCATAGTGCTGATCTGTTTTGACAAAGGCATCAGAGTTAGGAAAGGAGAAGCCAGAGTTAGAAAATATCTGTACTGGAACCAGCATTTTTAAATCTAGGAAGCTGCCTTATATCAAGTCAGACTATTACTACTGTATGCAGTAGGGGTGGACAGATACCCAGCCCAGGGCCCAACCTTCTTGACAGGGCTGGAACCTGCCTCCAGTGGGCCCTTGGCAGACAATTGTCCTTTATTTATGTAACTAGGGGGCTGCTGTGCTGCAGCTCCTCCTCCTAGCCCTGCCAGCTCCACTGGCAAAAGGAAGCTCCACAGCAACCAGCTGTGCAGGCCTACAGACCTTGCCCCACTCCATCTCAGAATGCTTTTTTAAAGCTTATATTTGGAGCAGCAGCCCTCTAAACCCATCAGAGGCTGCCAGGGAACAGGGAGCCAGCCAGTGAGGGCACAGGGGCAGATAAAACTCTCTATAAATGTCACTGTCTGCTGTAGTGCTTCTTATTGTAGGTGTGACCAGCTGGGGGAGGAGGAGGAGGAAGAGAACTGGAGTGACAGGAGCTGCTGATGCTTCTGGTGCCTCTGTAACAGCAGTTTGATCCAGGAACAGCTGCAGTAGTAACCGGACTGCACCCTTGGCAGCTGCCCACCCATTCTGATGCCAGGCCAGCTTCTTGGGACCTAATCCAATCCTTTGTGTTCCCCAAAAGGCCATTCCCTTTTCCCCAGCCCTCTCCCCTTTTCTCCAACTACTGGATTGTTTGTTGGGTTCTAGAACTTTCTGCAGCTTTCCCTCCATTCCAAAAGGTTGAAATGCTTAAGTGCTTTAGGCTACAGGGTGCTGGAAGCTACCCCTTTGGCTTTGGCTTTACCACACTGAAATGCACCTCCTGCCAAAAGTTTGTTAGAAATTGCATTTGGCCCCTTGGCATACTTCACCCTGGTCTAAACTGACCAGCAGTGCTTCTCCAGAGTTTCAGGCTAAAGGTTTTTCTAGTTTTACCTGTATGAGGCAGACTGCAGCTAGGACTTTCTGCATTCAACATGTCTGCCATCATCGAACTACAATGGATTTCCCCCATGGGTTAGGAGTTCAATTCCTACAGGAAATTTTCAAATATTTTTTCCCTTTCATCTAAGGAAGAATAAGGAAGTATCAAAGTATGTGTGGGTTTTGTTGTTCATGAATTGTGCAACTCCACTAGCTTCAACAATAGAGCTTCTTTTCTTGCAATGGAAAATTAATGAGCAAACATCTGGAATGCAGTTAGATCAAACTCAAATTCAGCAAAATAATGGTTCAAATCCTGTTGCAGATTTTCTGTGCCTACATGTTTCCTATTTGCTCATCCTCAGAAAATAGCGTTACTCTTTTTGAGGAGGAAAAAGTTCCATTTCCCTTTGACTAAATGCAGTTCAGATATCCATTTTCTTCCAAATTTGCTGACAAGGCAGAACTGAGGCCGCCATCAATTGTTTCATAACATGCTGTTTGGGCACTCAGATCAGAAGTGATCCCACTTCCATTAATCTATTTTGATTTTGAAATTTCTTTTCTTTTTTTTAACTTGCTTACGAAATGGGTGATTTATTCCCTCTCTTTCGGTAAAACTATGCTTTAGGACTTTCCCACGAGAGTGAGCCTCTTTCCCCATAGCCTTTGCGTTTGTGTGTGCATGTGAGTGTGCATTCACATGTAGACACACACGTGCATGCACATGCACACCTGCCTCTGTCTGCATGAACAGCTGTTTTGGGGAAATGGGGAGGGGAAGAAAAGGTATGTGCTTTCAGCCTTTGAGCATCTCTCTCTCTCTCTCTCTCTCTCTCTCTCTCTCTCTCTCTCTCTCTCTCTCTCCCTCCCTCCCTCCCTCCCTCCCTCCCTCCCTCCCTCTCTCTCTCTCTCTGAACAATCTGTAGTTCATGTGTCAGCAAAATCTACAATCTTCAAATCTAGAAGCTCCCTTAGGGGGTCTAATGCCATGCCTTACAGAGGGGAGTCTTCTGTTTGAAAGCATCCTCTGTTTTAGGAGTAACTATCTACCCTGAATCATGCTGAGCATTCTGTGGCAACAGCACTAGAAAATAACTTTAATATGAAGACTGTACTCTGTCTCCAGCTGCCAGAACAGGGATGGAAGAACTTATAACCCTCCTGATGTGTTGGCCTTTGGCTTCCTCACCATTTCAGGTTATGGGGTGGCATAGAAATGAAAACAAATAAGTAAATAAATTTTGTAGGGTGGGCCAAAACATCTGGAGAGCCACAAGTTGCCCACCTCTGTACTACAACATGTGAACCAAGAGCAGGATGAGGCACAGACTCTCAAAAGCTTTAGAGCAGCTTTTGCTTCGATGCAATGGTAACATCAAGGCAGAAGGTTTGTTTGCACAGGGACCTCTCTTCCTGCTTTCTCTCCCAGATTAACAAAGGTGAAAATATGAATGGCACAAAGCAAATTTAAAGATGGTTGAAGTTTTATGTGTGCAAATGTCCCTACTCTCTGTTGACGTGCTTTAAAGTGGTGCATGTCCAGAGTCATGTTTATATATGACACAGGCAACACCCAGCCCTTTGAGGAGATCACTGTTTTGTAGGTAAATATGGTGTCAGGACACTGTGTATGCAGGAGCCTTTGCGGGTACCTGGGGTGGCATGAGGACAATTGTGGAAGCAGTGGTGTGTCTGAGCCTGGCGTTGGTGACATGTGCCTGTGGACACCAGTGCACCCACCCAGAGTGTCACCCTTTTCTTGAAAAAATTACCAGCAACTGGGATCACTTCAAAGGAAAGGCTGGGCATCATCCTATCTTTACTTCCCATGAGTTTCCCTGGAGACCATGTAGGGCTGAAAGACATTCTTGGAGCATGAAGCGCCAATGGCAGGATGAGTGCTGAGGACATCTGTCCACAAAGTGCTCAGGGGGCCCTGAGGGAAAGCTGTCATCAGCCGCTCCGCTGTTGTGCGCCAGCTTTTTCAGGGCCTGTTCAGAGCTTAGGGAGGTGGCCCATGGTGCCACTGCCAATGTCAGCCATTCACGGCCTCCATAAGCTCCCAGGTTTAGTCGGGCCTCCATGAGCATCTCCGAGTGCCAGGGAACCAGCTTGCCTGTGAGTAAGCCAGCTATATCAGCACCTGCTCCTCCTCACCAGCTGACAGGGGATGGGGTGCACTTTGCTTGTGATCTCAAGCAGTCAGCCATGGGCTCTTCCCACATTCCAGCTGCTGAGGACTCCTTGCAAGCTGGAGTGAAGGAAGCGCCTCTCCTGTTTGTCATTGCTTGGCTGGGGTGGGGGTGGGGGTGGGGGTCAAGCAGAGCAGCTCACAAGGAGCCCATCTCTGCCCTCACTTGCTGTTTTGGGCTGTCAGGATGGAGACTCCCACCATGGCTGGCTAGTCCTTTTGGCTGGGTGCAGTGGCAGGTGGGGCCCATTGCTTCAGCCCATTCAAAACCAGGGGAAAGCAATGGCTGATCCCTGCTTCCCCCATCCTTGGCACCAGTAAAAAGTGGTGGCATGGAGTAGGAGAAATCTGGAATACCTGTGGGAGGACTGGGATGGGGGAAGTGGCTGCAGAACCTCAATGCACCTGCTTTCTATTGAGCATGTCACAGGCCCTGAGGCGAGGAAGCCACACTGCCTGCCTTGTCCCACAGTGTGGCTTCTGCCATGTATGCGTGATGGATGCGTGCGTGCTTATACATGAATGGGTGGAGATTGGCTGGGGATGCACTCTGTGTGTGTGTGTGTGTGTGTGTGTGAAAAAGAGAGGGAACGTCTCTGTGGGTGGTTAGCCAGGAAAAGAGAGGTGGTGAGGGCTGGCAGAGGGGAGGGAGTTGCTCTCTTTGAACCGTATCCCACAGCTGAAACTCTTGAGTTCAGAGGAGCTGTTTAGTGTGCCCCCTTTGCCATCTATTCAGCCCTTTGGGCAGGTTATGTGTTCTTTATGACTAGTCACACCTTTTATGACTAATCACACCTCCTACGACAGCCATATTGTGGTGGCACCCATTGTTACTTTTGCAGTTCCTCAGTGTGCTCAAGGGCCCAGAAGGATTGCTACCCCATCTTAGCCTAGCCCTAACTATCTTTGATGGCCACTGTGTCCAAAGTGAAAGCACTGGCCATGTGAGCAAGTGCGGTGTTGCAGTACCAAAAGAGAACAGGGCCCAGTGTGGATTAGCCCCCGGTTGTCTCCCCATCCTGCTCTGTGGCCATTGTGAAAAACTCCCGGGAGGAGAGGTGTGTGTAGCGAAGAGCAGTGCAGTGCAGGTCAGTAAGGAGACCTTTTGACCATGGCAGGCCAGACAATCGTGTGCTGAAGTGAGAACTCTCAGGTGACAGGTTGTCAGAGATAAACATGAACTTCATAATAGGGTTAGGAGGAAGTTCACCTCTAGTTCTGTGACTTAGTGGAAAATAGTTATGTTGTTCAAAGTCATCTCTGATTGCTTTTGCTCCTTTTTTCCAGGGTAAGACAGTGGTGTGTCTGACAGCTTTGAATTTCAAATCAGATAAGAACTCATTACAACAAACACTTCAGCTTAACTGATCGGGTCAAACTGGCACCATATTCCACAAGGGAAGGACTTTGTCTTAATTCAGAATTACCACTCCTTTGTTGTGCATTTGCAACAATCACAAATGCAAATTAGAATTAACCACTGAGATCAGAATTGCAAGATCCAAAGACATACCTCCTATTCCCAGAGGGCACCAGTGGTCCTCCGGGTCTTTTGGGACTTCCGCTCCCATCAACTCTATCCAGCATAGCCTGTGAGCAGGAATGATGAGATTATAGTTGAACAACATGTGAAGGGCCACAGGTTCCCCAACCCTGTTTTAAACCCTCAGTCCTTACTGTTAATATGACAGGATGGAGTAGCACTTGTTGGAATGAAGTAACTGCAGTACATCATCTATGCTTGCCTTGTTTCCAGCAGTCATCTGTCACCTCCTCCTCCTGTCCATGTGCATCCTGTGTGGACCTTCATAAGCATAATATACGCATTTGCCTCCAGCGCTGTCCTCAGGGGAGAACTTGGGGACAGAAGTCTGGTATCCTATTCACAGAAGGGGCAGGAAGGCCCCAAACCCAACAGGACCAACTTATCATATTCTGAAGTAAGTGAACACCATTTTCTAAGAGGGGTAGAAGGCATAAGACTATTAAGTCTAAGGTCTAAAATTACTTACCTGCTCTGTTGTGTCTCTTTTCTTTGCTGCTTCTTTAATCCCTCCTATCATTCAGCAATGCTCCTTCAGTTGTAAAATATATTCAGCACATTCAAATATGTAAACACACACACACACACACACACACACACACACACACACTTCCTACATAGCTAGTGGCATTTTGTTTTAAGATATTTTCTCTCAATTAAACTTACATTGAAGGCTTATGTGACTTATGCACAAAATAAATTCGGAAACATTTCATTTAGCTATAGGATCAACATGCATGAGGAAGCAAACAGCTGCAGTGGTATCCATGGCATTTATTTGCACATCCCTTTTATTTTGTCTGTCTTCCCATTTTCCATATCCACATGGCCAACTCTATGCAGCTTGTGCAACTGGCAATACAATACATCTTATCTTTTACACAGGTTTGTAACATGTTGCCCATGAACACCAATCCACCTATCCAGCTCTCTGTTCTCTTTCTTGGTGCCTGCCAGTTACCTCCCCCATGCACTTAAGTGCACGTGCGTGTGCACACACACACACACACACACACACACACACTCTTACTAAGAGCTGGAACAACATTGCAGGGCATCTCTGTTCTGAAATAGGAGCTGAAAAGAGTGGGTTCAAGTGTTTTGTGCGTTGACACTCAGGCCCCATTTCTGCCCTGTACACATTCTTTGGGGCAGGTTATTTGCCCTTTGTCATGCCTCCCATTTGGTGGTGGTCCCAAGACAGTTTGCTCAAATTGCTAAGTGTACCAGCCAAGTTGCCTAACCGTGTATTCACATAACTGTCATGCAAAGAAAAAGCAGTGTAACTTTCATGGTTCTTCTTTCTTTCCTCCTCGTGTGAGGAGATGAGGGTTCTGGAACAAAGACTCATCAGCATTCTTAAAATACGGACAGATTTCTCTGGGTGCTACTGTGAAAGTTGAATGGGTTTTACACCTGCCTTAATTACTTGTGCAAAAGAACTTGCATGCACTCTGTGAAGACAGCTCCCAAACATGTCTGCACACAAGTGCATGCTCACATTAAGAAATCTGTAAAGTCAGTGCTTTAGCAAGGGAGAAGCCTGGGAACAGAAAAAACAAAAAGCACTTAAAATAACCAAGGCTGCAGCAAAATATCCTAAACAGGAAATGTTCTTTTGGCATCAAATAAGCATTGCATGACAGAATAGCATTGTTAGGTTGTTCCTGCCCAACAGGGGAAAAATACATCGCATGACTGATAAAACATTTCAGAAGAAAGACTATAAAGTTTTATGGGATTTTTAGTTTAGAGAAAAGGCAAGTAAGGGCAAGAAGAGAGAGGAAGTCATGGCAGAGGTCTACCAAATCATGCATGTTGTAAAGGAAGTGCACAGGGACAGATTTTTCTTCATCTCTTACAATACTAGAACCCAATGGGGTCATCCCATGAAGCTGGTTGCCAGGAGGGTCAAGGCAGATGAGGAAGTTCTTCACACAGTACATACATAAACGACGGAACTCTTTATCACAAGACTTCGGGAGCTTTAAAGGAGATTAGACAAACTCATGGGTGACAAGGCTATAAAGGGCTGTTAGTCATGGTGGCTCTATGCTACTTCTAGATAGCAGAGGCCTCACACCTTTGAATGCCAGTTACTGAGGGACACAGCAGGAAGGGACCATTGCCACCATGTTCTGCCTGTGATCTTCCCACCGGCATCTGTTTGGCCACTGTGGGGATGGAGGGTGTGCCTTGGTAGGTCTTCAGCTTGATCCAACTTGGCTCTCCTGTTAAACTTGTTTGCTTGAAGCTGTTAAAAAGGACCGCCCTGCTAGGAAACCAGGGGCAGCAGAAGAAGGAAACAAGCCCCCGCTCTTCCTGCCCACTCCCCTGTCACACTGTATCATGTCACCAATGTCCCTTCTGTGCTGGAAATTTAAGCAAATATGTGTAGCATGGCCTGTCCCTAAGGACCTTAGAAATGATTGTTTGAGAGGGGATCAAGGTCAATATAAATGCCACTAGTCCTGTTGCGAGGCAGCTGGAAAGGCTGCAGCGTGAAGGCTTAGGGCTGGGGAAAGCTGTTCATTGCATAGCTCTGGCTTATCATGTAGAGTAGGGGTACACAGCCTGGTATCTTCCAGGGGGTATGAAGCCTGGTGCCCTCCAGATGTTCAGAACACAACTTCCAGCCACTGGCTGGGTCTGATGGGTGTTGTAGTTAATATATCTGGAGGCCAACAGGTTGCCTATCCTGATGTAGAGCATCCACACCAGTTGCATACATTTTGGGTGCCTGGTTTGGCAGAGCGTCTATAGTAATGATTGGAGCTATCCATACAGTGACCAGTTCTCATATATTGAAGTCCCGTGTAAAGTCAGTGCCACTATGGTCATGGCCATCCACTTAAGGTCTGTAATGTGGGGTTGGTCCCAAGGGATTCTACTGTATCTAGATAATGCGCACTGATGGGTCTGCTCAAAAAAATTAATTTTTGAAAATTAATGGGGATGGTGTAAATTGCTGTCCTGCAACAGCAGGGGGTTGATCTGATGGCCTTTTTGGCCCCTTCCAACTCTACTGTTCTATGCTTTTCTATGAAAAGCTCTACAGCTGCTGTTGTGAAAAAGCAAAGAGGAAAACCCCCATCTGGGCAATGTCCAGAGTAGGTACCTGATACACTTTGGCAGCAAGTAAGTCCACCGCTGTCCCGGGAGATAGCTCTGGCTGAGGCTTCAGATTGTTGTGAATCTCTGCAGTTGTGCAGGTTCATCAAATAAATAAATGAAGTTTTAAAAGAATAAACCCATTTGCACCCATTTTCTGTGCAAACTTTAAAAGATCTTACAGAATCTCCAAGGTGCTACTCAGGCAGTTTGAGGGAGCTGCCAGTCACTCTCAAAACACTGATCACAAAAAACAGCTGTGAAGCCAACTTCAGGGGGAAAGTGCAAAGAAGGCTTGATGAGACATTCCCTGGGATACCTGTCAGAGGTCCAAGGGAAGAAGTTAGATGGAAGGTGTCACCAGGTGAGTCTGAGTGTCTGTTGGGCATATCAAGCAAGAAAGCAGTATCATTCTAATGCTAAATTCAGTAGGACTTAGGCTGCAGTTCTGTCCTATTTATATCTGACAGTAAGCTTCATAGAACTCATTGAGATGTACTTTTGAGAAGTACCTGTTAGGAAGCATGCATAACATTGCAGCTAGAATGTAGCCAGAAATTTGGAGTCCTAATGAGTTCAGTGTGACGCAAGTAAGTGTGCACAGAAGTATAGCTTTGCAGCTTGGTTATTTTATTTACGGTATTTCTATGCCACCTTTCTGGGGAACCCCCCACCCCACCCCATCAACTCACTTTACAAAAAAAAAAAATCAGAAAATAACAATTACAAAGTCACAGTCAAACATTACAAAAGACTCTTCAAAGCCATGCTGCAGCAATTTAAACAGCCAAATTAAGAAGATGAGTCAAGGTCCTTCCTGAATGCAGAGAGAGTGGAGATGGTCATAACTCCAGAGCGAGTGTGTTCCACTAGGAGCCGCATGGGAGAAAGCCCTCTGTTTGTTGTGCTGCTTGACTTTTAGGCATGCTTTGACTCTGTTAGCCACCTTTCGAAGGCACACAGTGCATAATGTTCCTCATGTCCTTGCATAGATTCCAGTGTTCAGTGCATGGACAACAAAGACTATGATGTGGGTTAGTGCAAGATATGGTCTCCCCGTTCCTTGCCATGGAGTGAGGGCTCATTCTCTTCCCTAATCTGATTGAATCTGAAAAATATGTGGTGTTCAATAAGTTAAGCCTGGCTTGAGACACACCACAAAAGGAAAGAAGTGGCAGAGCCCCTGCGTCAAGAAGAGCGGCTTTTGCACAGAACGGGTCCGAGGTTTTGGGTGGCAGTCTCCCTGTTGACATCAGGAGTGGGGCACCGACATGCTTTGTTTACCCCTCCAGTCTGTTCTTTTTGGTTGCTCTTGTCTGAAAGAAAGCAGTGAAACAAAGTGATGACGCCTTCTGGGCCTAGGAAGGAAGTTTTGGTCAGAGAAGGGGATTTCCAGAACACTGTGATCTCTGATGTCTATGCAAATCATGCGCCCAGGTTAATCTGAGTGGATCTAACAAGCCCTACATGATAGCATCTTGTACTTCAGAGGAGATGATAATGAGGCATGGAGATGGAGATGGGGGGAGGGCAGGATGAAAAGGACAGAGGGATCAATGGGGAAGAGGTGCCGTGAGGATCCCAAGGGACAGGAGTATGGGAAGCAACAATGAGGCAGTCCGACACAATAGCATCGCAAGCACATCCAACCTAGTCTGGAGCAGCTACCAGTGCAAAAGCTTGCAGCTATCACTGCGTAGCAATTCTGCTTTGACAATTCTGAAGGAAGCCTTGAGAAAAGCAGGCCCTGAAAAGGCAAACCAAGCCCCGAACTTCTCCCTGCTTGTACAGGCATAATTGCTTATTGTGCCATCATAAGCTCGTGGAGCCATCACTCACTGGTTCTTCACTTGCTGCTCACGGAGGGCCCAGCTTCATTTACTTGCTAAAGGTATGCCAGGTGGCAGTGCTGGAAAAGGTATCTGTCCGAGATTTCATGGAACTATTGCCATGCGGAATAGGACTAATCTCGGCAGGCAAGCAAGCAATCTGCAGGCACCATATTCCAGTCCCTTGCCACCTTTGCGGCTGCCACACAACATGAGCTTTTTGTTTAATGCTGCACTGGTCTCACTATTGACTAGGATAATCCATTCTGTTATACTTAAGGACATACTAACATGACCGTCTGCCAGCATTAAGACCTGAAAGGCTTGCATGCGGGGCCCCAAAGCCTGCAATAAGTTCATTGAGTGCAGCTGTTTCACATGCAAAACTGGGTGCTTCCTCATTGACACTGAAAACGTGGGTGCCCTCTTCCAGTAAACTCTGTGTATTTCAGTCTGAGTCTCAACCAAAAACATGGCTTATTCCAAAAGTGTTTAATAGAAGCTATGCTTAAAGTTAAGCAGAAAAGCGTATGGTCAAAAGTTTAAAAACTGTCTTGAATTGGCTAAATTAATCCCTGTAACTAAAAATAGTTTTTAAAAGCCGGTTGGCTTGGAGATTCTATATTACTCTAGAATCAAGAGCAATAAATTGGAGGGAATGGACTGCATACAGTGGATATACATGAGGGTGGGAGTAAAATCATTTGGCTTTTCCACACATGTAGGGATGGATCACATGCCTCTTTTTTCTGAAGAAATGCTCTTTTTGCTCTGGACATGCCCCTTTTCTCATGTAGCCCTTGCTAGGATTCCCAACACCCTGTAAGGCCTCCAGCACAAAGTAAACTGTGTAGCCCTCCTTTAGAGAATTAAAATGTATTTCTGTTAGCATTCAAAATAATTTTATGAGCAGTTATAATTATAATAAATACAATGTTGTTGTTGTTAAACAAAAACTACATTACTGTACTGCCCAATAGCCAAATCTCTCTGAGTACTTTACAACAATGTATAAAACAACACAATACAAATACCATAATAACAACAATGTAAAAATGAATTCAAAGTGCCTTTTAAAATATAGTTTAAAAGAGCCTACAAAGAAAAATAACCACCTGGATGATCACCTCAGGCCCCTGGACAACCAAGTCCTCTGTATAAAGGGCTGTCTTGACCTGGTGTTGAAAAGGTGGCGAGTTTGGCCCAGGCGAAGCCGCAGCAGGTGGCTGTTCCAAGCATGGGGGGGCCATCACAGAGAGCATCCTCCCCCTGGTGCCACCCTCAGAGTCTCCCATCGGGTTGAGGAAGGCCTCAGAGCCTGAGTGCAGTGTCCAAGTACATTGCAGTTGGGAGAAGTGCTCCAACAGGCACTGTAGTCCTAAACCATGTAGGGCTTCATAACTCAAAACCAGCTCTTCACACTGGATCCAGAAGCATACAGAGCCACTGCAGGAGGCCAGAACTGTCTTATGTGTTCAGACCTGCGGGGCCTGGTTATTAACCTGGCTGCTGCATTCCACACTCACCGCAGCTTCTGAACCGTCTTCAAGGGCAGCCTCACACAGAGTGCATTGCAGTCATCTAATTCAGAGGCTACCAGCCCCCTCTTCTAGGTGGATCTTCCACCCAGTGCTTGGGTGAGGGACCTGGCACGGACTTTTCTGGATGGAGAAGTGCCCTGTGCACGTCCTCTTTGCTCTGCTAATGGAGGAACAAAGAGGGCTTGGCCGGCGTTGTCTTCGCTGCCCTTGGCTGCCCCTTCCCCTCAAAGCTTGTGCTGGTGAAGCAGTGCCATAAGGGGAATCCCTGTCTTTGGTGCTGATCTTTGGCAGGGAGAGCAAGCGTGGCGGGGACTCCTCCCGAGCCTTATCGGTGGCCAGGCTTATGCAGGGGCAGATCAGGTTCTACACTCTGCACCGTGCGGACTCCCTTTGCTACAACTCAGCTCACCACTGCCATGCTCTGCCCAAGGAATCAAATTTAACAGTAACTTCTAAAGTCAGAGCAATTGCACTTTCATTGCAATCCAGTGTACCTGGATGAAGCCTTTCTATGCAATACAGAGAAGACTGTAGGGTTTTATTTAAATCTTTGCAGGTAACTTTGTGGAATCCAGCTAGTACACACTTCAAGGATGGTTCACTGACCTCTCATCTGTTTTTCTGATTAGTCTTTTTTTTAATAATCTTCTTATTCTAGATTATTCTGAATGTCCATTCACAACAGAAAATGGGCATTGGTTCCAACAAGAGTCAAACTGATTTAAGATCTCCTGATGCTTTTTAAAAGTCTGTCTGTCTGTCTGTCGACTGGCTGGCTGGCTGGCTTACTAAGATATGAAAACTGGAACCCTCTGGATGGAGCAGTTATATCCATTCACTGGAATTCTTTTCTCAGGGGAACAGGCTTATGGTAGAGCCCTGGAGGAAGGCCATGCACCTTGAATGCCACTCAAATTAGAGAGTACAAAGGCAAATGAAGCTGCGTACCACTGCATGACTGCCAGACAACTGATCTCTTCTGGTACATTTTGAAAGCAAAGCATCCCTCCAAACACCTCATGCTGAGTTTCGCATCCTGTGCAAGGATCTTCTGGTGACTTGCACTTATTGACTGAGCCAAGGGTAAAATAAGGGATGAACTGGGCTGAATTAAAATGTTATTTCCATTTTAAGAAATGTTTTAGTTGACATTTGTATAGGAGTTATCAGAAACCTAAGCACAAACCTTATTTCTACATCCTCAGAAATAAGCCACACGGAGTTCTAGGAGGTTTATTCCCTGATAAGTGTGTAGAAAATTGTGGCCTTATCCTATTACCCTATGATAAAAAACAAAGCTCACCTCTCTGGAAAACTGAAAATGAAAACTGAATGCAGATGAGATTATTTGCTTTCTAAATATAAATGAGAAAAGGTTAAGGATTACAAGTTGCATATAACTTTCTATCTGATACTTGCTTGCAATTAATATAACAGAAACCAAATCTGTTCATCAATAAATTAATGTGATGCATTGAAATATGCTGGAATATACAAGGTGTATCCAGAATTAACGAGAATGAAGCCCCCACACTCGAGAAGGGCTCCGTGAAGGGAGAAGCTGGCCCAGGTCACTTGGGGTGGGGTGCCAGGTACGTGTTAGAACACTGATCAGTTCCATTCCAGCCCTGTTAGAGTCAAGACATTATTTTTTGTGACACCCTGTGCAAGTGCCTTGTATTAAGAAAAATGCAAGCGAGTTTGGAACAGCGGTACGCAATACAATTTTGTGAAATTGTGTAAAAAAGCATCCGGAACTTTGGAAATGGTGAGGAAAGCTTATGGAGAAGCTGCACCATCATCACGACAACACACCAAGTCACAGTACTTTGGCTGTCAGAGTTTTGGGCTGAAAAACACATCACGGTGCTTCCCCATCCACCCTACAGCCCCGACTTGGCTCCTTGTGACTTTTTCTTCTTCCCAAAGATGAAGAATGGGTTGAAAGGACACCATTTTGGTAGTGTGGATAATGTCCAAAGAGTCACTACGCAAGCTCTGAACGCCATCCCACTTGAAGACTTCCAGGGATGCTATGTAGAATGGAAAAATCATGAGGTGTGTTGTGTACACTCAAAGGTGCATACTTTGAAGGAGACAATGCTCGATTGTAAAAATTTCAATAAAAGAATTTTAAAAATATTCTCATTACTTTCTGGACGCACCTCGTATATTTATTAGCGAAACTGCATTATCTTAGATTGATTTGTCAGCATGATATACGTAGGGCCTCATGACAGGAGTGTGCAAGATTTGTTTCCATTTGCTATCGCAGCAATTTTCAGTGTGAAAGCCCTTATTCATTTTATTTTACGTTCGTTAAAATGACATTTCATTTTTGTCTGTTCCTCAGGAAAAAAAACATTCATTTTGTTAGTCAAATTCATGTTGTTTTTAAAAATCTGCCACTTTCTTTTCCCAGAATGCCAAGGAATGACACATGTAGGATATTCTGGAAAATAGTGGCCACCAGGAAGACTTGCAGCACTGGTCAGAGAAGGTAAGTCGTTCATGCTACTGTGCAGATGCCCAGGATTCCTTTCACTGTAAACATGCTCAGGATTGCACCCTCAGCCACGCTTAGAGCAGACCCACTGAAATCCGTGGGGATTAGGGTGGTCACGCCTGACATAAATGCCACTGATTTCAGGTGAGAATTTGAAACAAGACTAAGTCTGGATCCAGCCCAAGAGTGCGGCTTGTTTAACATTGGTTCCAACTATCTGTGCTTTCTAGCACCTGGAGACAGTCGTTCTCCTCAACCCATATTTGTATACTTTATTATATGCACAGGAGGCAAACAATTGTTCTTGTGTTTGCTTTCCTCCAAAAACAAAGCAAAGGCGCATGACAGGCCAGTGTGAGTTCCAGCAGCTGTTGCCTGTCTCCAGGATCTCGCTCTGTCTTAAGGACCCCTAGACCATGAAAATTCAACTTGGGTAGCAAATGCATCTTACCCATGTCAATCTATGTGCCCGAGTTTCTAAAGCTCCACACAGTGCACTGCTTGCCTTTTCACACACATCAGGTAACACTGTAAAGCAATGATGTCTTTTGTGAGACTGGGAATTTGGACAAGGGAGAGTTCCTTGGTCCAGGCATGGTACTGCAGTCTGCCCAACAGTCGTTGCAAAGCTGTGGAGTATTTTCCTTTTTATGGGGAAATGTATAGGCTAGTGGCCTTCAATAGCTGACATTTTTAAATGGCTTGAGCCATTGGCCTTCCCTAACCGTCTGCCCTCCAGATGAGCTGGACTTTAACTCCCATAATTCCCAGCCAGCACTGCTTATTGTCATACATGCAGGGAATTCGGCGAGTTATATTAGTCCAATATACTTGTGGGGGAGGGCTGCACCCAGGCTGGGAAGGCTGGGCTAGGAAATTACTGAGCTAGGAATTTATGTCTCCAACCCCCTAATGATGTGATCCAATTGTGTGCATAAAAGAAAACAAAAGGACAAGAGCGAAGCTTGAGGGCAGACACAGAAGCTCCATTTGGGCTCCAGAAGCATGGAAGGACACAACTCTTGTGTATGGCTTTTTCCTTTCTAAATATGTGTTGGATTGTCCACTCAGGGTGCAGACTGTTTCCCTAGAGATCTGGTGTAGAGTTGTGGCCACCTGTTGAAGTATTTAAGAGCATAATCCTCTGTATATTTAGGCAGAAGAAACTCCTACAGTTTGCAGCATGCTACAGCCAGCCGTGTGGGTAGCAGGACTTCATTTTCTGTCTAAATATGCATAGGGTTGCGCCCTTAGCTGTACCTCCATCTAAGCTGAATTTGTCTATATGTAAATAATGCAAATATTACAAAATCCCAATAAGCTTTCAGTGGATATGTTTCAAAGGAAATGAAACCTGATCTGAGCATCGCACCCCTGGAACCTTTTGCTTTTGGAGTTCATGTAGCAAAGTACTTAGTCAAAACAACAAGCACAGGCTTGGATTTTACTACAACAGGTAGAGAATCCTTGCTACAGTTTGGCTGGTTGTAACAATATTCATTTAAAACCCTACTTTTCAAAGTCTTTGTCACCATTCCAAAAAAGAATTTATTTCCACTATTTCCTACAGGAAAAATAGATTTAAAATTAGATCTCACATTGCACCTGAATTTCCCCCATACTTTCAGGATCTGAGGCTGTCCCTCCGGCCACGGTCCATCATCATTCATTCGCTCACTCTCCCGCTCGTTCCAGAGTTCACTTGCCCTTCCCGGGAGAGTAGGGTGGCAACAGAGGTATTTCCAGTGGGAGGAAATTTGCATTGCCAGTAAAGAGAACATGTTTTCATAAAATCTGTGTGTACTAATATATATGCATAGATGCAAATTTGGAAAGGATTGCTAAAATTTTTCAAGAAATATAATATATCTCATCATAGTAGGAAGACTGTGAGGTGGTGACTTTTATGACTGCCCGGCCTCCTGCCCAGTGTTATGGATGGGCAACGTCAAGGCCCCCTTTTCACTCTCTTCATAGAATTCTTTGTGTTTAAACCAGACTCGGACAGAACAGTACCTCAGATAAAGGAGTATCTGGTGTAGGAACCATGGCTAGCCTATCAGTAAATCTCAGGCAGTAGCACTGGCAAGTGCAGTGGTAACGGATCAAGGTATGCCTTCTGTTTTTGCTTTCTGAAGGAAACGGACAATTCCATTCCCGCTAAGGGAAGAAGCAGCCAGAATGTTCAGCAGTAGTTTTCCACTGAATAGAAGTGGAACCAAAACTTCCTAAGGAGCCACTTAAAAGCTACGTGCAAGATTCATCCCAGAATCTGCTACTGACAAAAAGAGATGTGTAGCTTTCCTGGGAGCTGACTCAGGAGGATATGTTCCAAGCATCTGGATGCAATGTGCATAGGTCTGATAGTTATTTTTGAAATGTCGCAACTCCTGAAACACCATTTTGCTGTTCCCGGAAGCCTCTTTAAGCAGCCCAGTTTGAGACAATGGCATGCACTGAATCTGTAAACTTCAGCAATGATATGTTCTAGTGGGAAATGTCAGCATATTGCTTTCCTTATGACCAGGGAAGGATTTCCTTCCTGCCTTCATTTTTTAAAAGTGTTCTAATCTCTTCTAAACATTAAGACACTTTCCTGTTATATTTCTGTGACACAACACAATCATTCACAGAGACAGCGGCTGGGGAAATAAGGTACCAAGCAACAAAAAGGAACCATTTCCTTGCTCTAGTCGAACATTAATGAGACCTTTGGAGCACCGTAACAGGTGTTCTGCCATCGCCATATATTCCTTCCCCATTTTGTTTATAGACACACATGCCTCTTCAAAATTCCTTATGAGCAACATGTTTTCACTGCACCGCAGTTCAGATTTGACGGGACTGCCTCATTGTCTCCAGTGGTTACCCGTCTTCGTTCAAGGATGCTAAAGTGCAGACCTTGGAGTCATATCCCACTGTTGGTAGCCAGTTCTGCATTACTTTCATTCTGCATTGAGAATCAGTGGGGTGTAGTGGTTAAAATGCTGGACTGGGGACATGGGAGATCTGGGTTTTAGTCACCACTTGGCCATGAAGCCCACTGGGTGATGCATGGGCGCTCAGCTTAACCTACCTCACAGGGCTGTTGTTATGAGGACAAGATGGAGAGGAGCAGATACTTATAAGTCACTTTGGCTTTCTTGCAAGAGGAAGAAAGACTGGGTATAATCTAATAAAATATAATGCAATAATAAGTAACAAAAAGAACACCACCACAGTGGACAAAAGAAGATTGAGAGCATCATAAAATTTGCAAATGCTAATTTATATGTATCGATGCACTTTTAGAAATAATTACTCTAATTTAAATAGAAATGTAGTGGCATCACAATAAAGACGACTGTGACCATGTGACTTGTGTGCCTGCCAGGGGCTAACTATTAATGGGCAACTGTAAGGCCAGTGTTGCTTTTCCTCCTTAACATTATTTCCCTGAAAACCAGGCTTGTCCTGGATAGGTCTTAAAAGAAAGGCCATCTTCAAATAAAGGACCATCCTTTGCGAGTTCTATAAAACAGTTTACCTTAAAATAGGATACCCAGCATCCCTAAGTGGCCCTTCTGGAAATGTAAGAAATCATTTCCATGTTTAATTTAGATCTCATCTTAATTTAGTTTAATTTAGATCTTCTATCTCTACTGATAGGGCAGTATTGTTTAAGGAGCAGACCACACTTGACATACCATTTCTGGAGAAAATATGGGCTTCTGAGAATACAGAAATTGATTATCAACCAGTTCAAACTCTTCAGGCAATCTTGAGTTTGTCAGAATAATTTTGGAAATTGGGTTACAATCCCCCTATTAGCAGTTGGAGGCAAAAGTGAACTGCCTCCAGTGGTGTTGGAACATGCATCTGCCCCCGTTGCATAGGGGGAGGGAGTTGGAGGTCTAATTTTTAGCAGTAAAATGACGGTGTGGGGCAGGAAGGAAGAGCCTCCCCACAAAAAAATCTACCTGCTGAGAGCCACTCAAACAGTTTTCTCCATGTTTAGGGAGAAAGCTGCCAAGGAGGAAAAACTGCTGGAAGGAAGTACAACTCTATCTGATGCATTTTGGCTTGTCCACACTCTAGTATCAAGCTGGATTATAAATTTTTCATTGCTCACCTTCCTTCGAGCGCATGACATTGCACCTGCATATTAAGGGTGGTAGTCTAGAATTGGGGAGACCCACCTTAACAGTCCCCATGGGCCATGAAATTCATTTGTTGGCCTTGGGTCAGCCACTTTCTCCTACCATAGCCCACTTCACAGAACTGTTGTGCAGATGAGATGGGAAAGAGAAGAGGACCAGCGATGTTGCTGAGCTGGGATGTAACCATCAGAGCAAACCAAACAATGGGGGCTGGTCTGTTCACAAGTAGAGAACTAGTGCGGTGTAGTGGTGAAGAGCGGAGGTCCAGGACTCAGGCGATCCGGGTTCTAGTCCCCACCCAGCCATGGAGCCCACTGGGTGGCTTTGGGCCAGTCAGGCTCTCAGCCCAAACTACCTCACAGGGTTGTTGTTGTGGGGATAAGATTGAGAGCAGGAGGAAGAGAATGATGTAAGCCACTTTGAGTTCCTTGAAAGGAAAAAAGGCTGGATAATAATAAAAATAAAGCAAGGCCTGAATATAGGATAATTAAGAGCAACAACGAGAAGGTGCCTAACCCCTCTCCTCCATGATGCCTTACATGTCTACAGCTGATTGGCACTCTGTCCAGTCTTGATCTAACAGAAGCAGGCCAGCAAGGAGACAAAGTGGCTCAAGCAACCACTTGTTGTAAGAGAAGGAGTCAGAGAGGGAAGTGTTCAGAATTGGCACACACGCTTCCTTTCCCCTGTGAAATAGCATCCGTCAGCCCCATCATGCCTAGTTTGACCCTATGCAGTGGCAGCTGGTGCCACTAAATGTTGGTGGGGCAGCAGGCAAGGTGGGTGCTCAGGCCTCTAAGATCGCTGGAGGACACTGCACCTGCTTGCCATGTGTTGGAGCAGCTGTCCCTGGAGAGGGAGTCCCTGCCGCAAGTGGGTGGGCACCAGGGGTTGATGAAGTGCGGAGTCTTCAAACATGGAGACCCCTCGGGTCCTAAATGGGTGTGCATGCGCAGTCAGAAGAAAATGGAAATATTCTTTAAAATGAACACAGGAGATAAATGTCTCGAGATAAAAAGTTGGTGGGTGCAAAGAAGTGTTTTTTAAAACCTCTCTGAAAAAGCTTTTAGATGTAGAACAAATAGTAACAAATGGAAAATGCAACAAAGCAGTAGCCAGCTCAATTGCAAAAATCTTTAAGGAAGGCAAGAAATTGCCCAGGGAGGTTACACGTTGTTCTTCCCTGAAGATGTTAAAGAAAGTACGGAACAGGTTGTGCCTCCTTCATTCACAAGTCCTTGTTGCAGCTTTACCTGGAAATAGTGGCTCAGCCCCCTTTCTCCAATGATTTGGCTCTCCAAAGCTATCTTCTATTTTCATGGGCAAAGTTAGGTATCAAAGGTATCCCATTGTTATTTGGATGTTAGATTTCACTGCCTTACATCCAATTTCATTATTTCGTCAGACTTGACATATTACATGTTAGCTTTTGACATAATTCTCACTGTATCTTACAGCTGACCTGCAGCTGTATTTACTCTGACATTTGGCAGCTGCGTGTGCTTGTATGATTGTGATTTAATAATTTTGCAAAGGCAAAGCAAAGACAATACGTCAACATATCTAAAACACATTATCAAAACTGGATGCAAAAATTCTTCACAATCTTAGAATAAGACTATCTAAAACTTTCTGTAACACAACAGTTTCCTGTCCTGACGGAAGCTTCTTGCAGCAATTATGACTGGAGTATGAAAAATCCTGGCACTGGAAGTAATTCATATGCTTCTCACTAAAATGAAGTCTATGATTTATCTATTAATAAATGTCTACTTTTTTCTTTAGCCTTTCTGATAAAAATCTCCAAACCACAAAATCCATGAAGTAATGCCAGGAAACATGATGTACGTGGAGAAAAGTGGCATTAATGCAATCGTGATGGCCTCTGTGGGTTGGTAGAGATAGTATAACCATTGAGTGGAATTTTTCAGTTACAAAGTAATAAAAGAAGCAAATGCAATCCAAGTATGGTTCAGGGCAATTTCAGGCATTGTTACTCAATACACAGATTGGAAAGCATTTTCTCTCAACTCATTTCAGTTCTTGCTTGAGGCATATTTTTTACCTAACCATAGAAATGAAGCTCCAATAGAAATAAACGCTCCAGTTAAAGGTTAGCCAACAAGTCTTAATTTCAGAAGTCTCACTGGAAACAGACCTGCTTCATTAGACCACTCATATGAAGGTTATGACTTGTGAAGGCAACCAAACACATTTCCTTCTTCCTTTATCGAAGGGCCCTTTATAAGGGCCAGGCCCAACAGCCCTCAACATCTGTACACTTCCATGCTTCTCTGCCCCATATTTAATGGAATATTGGCCAAGGGGCTACACAGACATACATCCCCTTCCCATGTGCGAATTCCAGGGCTGGGGCTGGAAACTGCAACCCTGCCACCCCTTCAACTGTACATGTAAAGAGGGGGTTGTATAAACATCCTTTTTAGTAGCTAAAGCAATGCTCTGTTTCTTATCTGGAAGGGTTCATTTATTTTGCTAAAATAGAAGAGAAACCAGTAACTCCAATGTTTCAGAGTTAATTCTTCTATTTCCTTAGGGGCAATCTGCCAATTCTCCTCTAAACTGTCTGAAAATGCTTTCTGCCAAGCCAATAGAAAAGGGAACATTCTATTTGCAGAATGATTACGAAAGGAACGTTTGCTTTTGTGCAAAAGGAGTTTTTTCCCATTCACATCCAGAAGTGGACTGCCTGGTCATACGACTGTGTTCCCCAAAAATAAGTCTGGGTCTTATATTAATTTTTTCTCCAAGAATCCTCAATGGAATAGTTCTTTCTTTTTGCACTCATCTTGTCTAGGGGTCAAAATATTATTCCCTTTAAATCTGTCATTAAATCAAGTGTTAATTGAAGACTTACAAGGCAGGAGTGGCAACACACAAGTGCATTAAGTACGGCCATTACAAGGACACTGTGTATTCATGTTATTCGTGCGCATTATCTGTACTCCGATTGGTCATTCAGCAGTAAGTCGAGTTCATCTGTTTACATGTTTACCTTGTCCAAAGGTGCCTGCTTGGGTATTTACAAATAATTATAATGTATATTATCATTTAAGTATTAATGTCAATATTATTAGATACTTCAATACATCCACCATTTTTTGCAACAGATGTACTAAATGCATCCGTCTGGCTGACAATCTTTGTTATTGTTAGTTGTGAAGTCATGTCCAACCCATCACAACCCCATGGACAACATTCCTCCAGGACTTCCTGTCCTCCACCATCCCCCAGAGTCACACCAACTGCTTCGGTGACTCCATCTAGCCACCTCATCCTCTGCTGTCCCCTTCTTCTTTTGCCATCTATTGTTCCCAGCATTAGGCTGTTCTCCAGGGAGTCCTTCCTTCTCATTAGGTGGCCAAAGTATTTGAGTTTCATCTTCAGGATCTGGCCTTCTAAAGAGCAGTCAGGGCTGATCTCCTCTAGGACCGACCGGTTTGATTGCCTTGCAGTACAAGGGACTCACAGGCGTCTCCTCCAGCACCACAATTCAAAGGCCTCAATTCTTTGGCGCTCAGCCTTCCTTATGGTCCAACTTGCACAGCCATATGTTGCAACTGGGAAAACCATAGCCTTGACTATACGCACTTTTGTTGGCAGGATGATGTCTCTGCTTTTTAGTATGCTATCTAGATTTGCCATAGCTTTCCTCCTCAGGAGCAAGCGTCTTTTAATTTCTTGGCTGCAGTCCCCGTTTGAGGTGATCTTGGATCCCAGGAAAATAAAATCTGTCACTACCTCCATTTCTTCCCCATCTATTTGCCAGAAAGTGATAGGATGATCTTAACTAGGGCTTATTTTTGGGGTAGGGCTTATGATTATCCTGAAAAATCATGCTAGGGATTCTTTAGGTCTTATTTTCGGGAAAATATGGTAGGAAGCCTGAGCATCAGCATGACCTCTGCCTTCGGCCTTAATTTTAAGAGAGGCCTGTGTGAGAATGGAGTTTAGAATAATTTTCTTACCAAATAATTCCCCTCCACCACACCACCTTTTACAGCCAGGGCGTAAGAACTTATTTTTAGAAACTTCTCAGCTTTTTCTTTTTAACTGTGAACACTTGATTTCTGAGAGAAACTCTGTGTCTGTGGAGATCAGGTCAGGAACGGGCATTTCTGTGGTAACCTCTTATTTATAGAATCTCTTTCCAGGAATCTCATCTGGCACTGACATATTTATGGTGCCAAAGACTCTTGTGGTGTTCATTCTCAGTCGTGAACAGGGGAGGATTTGTGTATTTGGACGAACATGTCTTGTCTTATCTTGTTTTGATGGTATTAATTTTATGTGCATTACAGCTTATATTGACTTTGGGTATTTTTCCCTGTAATAGTAACCATGGATTTCTGCACTGTTTGCCTCAGTTGCGTTTAGTGTGAACTTGCAGTGGTAAAGTAACACATAAATTTAAATCTCTCCATTTTACAGGTTGAGAACTGAGGCTGAGAGATTGCAACATGCCAGAGGCCACCCCAATGAGCCTTCACAGTTGTTGAGAGACAAAGATCCGCATGCTACCCTTGTGGGCTGTTGCTGATAGGCTTTTAAGAAAGGCTGTACACAAGACATAGCTAGTGAAGGGGGTTATGAGCAGATCACGCTGAGCATTTAGAAATCTAATTCTAGCCTTAAAATACAGAAGACTGACCCTGACCCTTCCTTACACAGAGGACACAGTGGAAGTTTGGAAATTTCAGAGATACTCAGAACCAAGAAGACATCTCACCACTTCTACTTGCTGCAAGATCAATGATGAGGCTTCACATTCTCTAAACTTGGAAGGGTCAAGTCTCAACCTCATCAGGGCTTTGGGGGTTCTGCTCTTCTGAATTCCAGCGCAAGGAAATCAACACCTGGCAGCCTTTCATTTCGTATTGTGTCAAGTGATTGTCAGGCTCAAGAAGTGGTTACCATTGGTGACCATATTTGTGGATCACTGCATGAGAATTGGATAAAGGGTTTTTTGCAACTTACCTAAAATATAATCTTGTTCTCTTCTCTTACAAAAAAGGAGAATACTTGGTCCAACTCATAGTCAGCAACAGTGAACATTTTATTTCTTTCATTTAAAATACCCATAACACTTACTTTACTGGACATAGGCACATTAGTTGGTTTTGCACAAATTCAGACAATTTCCCCATCCATGCAACTGAGCAACCTTGTGTTCTTAGCTATTTGCAATATTAAGCTCTTTTGTGATACATCCCCCCGCCCCAACACAAAGTGAATCTTCTCTGTGGATCCAAAACATATCCTGAAGCTCCTAAAAGCAACAGTGGCGTCTAGGCTGCACATATGTGAGTGACAACGGTTCAGACATGAAGCCAGGCTTCTATATAGCTGTCACGGATTGCTTAATCTTCTCCTCCACAAATGGCCAGCAATGCTTTACAGTAATCTCCTGAGGTATCCTTCTGAGAGAAAAAAGCAAGGTTAAACGCAGAAATACTTTTATACTATTAGCCTTACAAGTCAAGCATACAAAACAGTAAATACTTTGCTGATCTCCCAATACATGCCTTTAGGTACATTTACACTGTAGGCTTAAACTAGTTCGACAGCCATTGCTCTGCATCAGGCAACCTCAGGAACTGTAGTTGTGTGTGGAGATCAAGACAAAGTGATCCTGCTACTTTCACCAAACTACCAGGATTCTTTGGAGGAAGCCACAACTGTTAAACTAGCACAAACATGATATACTTATAATGCAGATGAGCCTTTCTTAGCACCTGCTTGACAGTGGCTGTTAATGAGCTAATCTTTGCACAGAGGCCTCATTAAGGGTTGCTTTGAAAGTCACAATTTCACAGAACTCAGTCATTGCCAGGGAAAGGGAGTTTGAGAGTGTGTGCACTGGACAATTTCAAAGTGTGCCAGCACAACTGGGAGGTTATTACTCATTTTGGTAACTGATCAGTGCATCTGTGGCAAAACAGATCTGCACTTCAAATAGTATGCACAGGGCCTATGTACCTATCTTGCAGGAGGACAGGCCTGCATGGTGGGAAAACCCAAGGTGTGAAGCAGTCACTTCAGTGCCCAAATCACCTGTTATGAGCACAGCTGACTCAACATTCCAACAGAAAGACAAATGAGAAGGTCAACATAGCTCACTGCAGGCAGGGAGGGAAACTTGTGCTTGCAAAGGCAGAAGCCGGGTTACCTCAATCATGTGATAGAGAGATTTCTCGTATATGTCCCAAAATTCACGCCGGATGTTGAACAAGTCGATTTCACTCCTTGAGACCATGATCCTGATGAGAGTTCGGTCATCTGTGCCAGCACCCTTGTGAAATTGAGAAAAAGAAAAAAGCAGTCAGAAAGAGAGGCGGTGGTGGGAAGCAGGAAGTGCAGGGATTTCCCCTCAGACTGGCAGAAGCAAAATATTTTGAAGAGATGGCAACAAGCGCCATCACCCAGAAGAATATTTTGTTTATGCAATGATAATGGGATGAAGACAACACGGGAGCTTCCAAATCCAGTGCTGCTAAATTTAGATTTGCACTGATACCTGAGCTCCCTTTAGAGATGCTGCTGGGCCTTGTTCTGCTGGTGCTGTCCCTGTGGCCCTCAAGCTGTGTATTTGGGGCAGGAGAGAGATGCAGGTCTTGGAGCTGGGGGCCGTGTCCCTCACTGCAGCATCTGTCACTGGCAAATTCCCCACTTTAGCTCCCTTTATGCAGGTGGCATAGTCTGAGCCAGTAACTGGAAGGTTCCACGTTCCCTCTGTCAGTTGAGACTAACTTGGGGACACGAGGGTAGAATCTGTTGCTAATTAGCCATGTCCAACTTTTTTCCCCTCCACCGCAATGCGAGTATCATTTTTACCTTCATGGACTTGTACAGCTTGTCGGCAAAGAAAGCTTGCTTGTTCTTGACACTCCGCACTTCAAACAAAGAGGGACAAGGGAAGCAACCGTGTGAAAATATTGTCTGGAAAGGACTAGAATTGACAGTATTCAAATCGCTCCATCTCAGTGGTGATACATACACTCCAACTGATGTTTGAAAAGAGCTAAGAGGTGAATGTGGTCATGTTTGTATATGGAAAGACAAGGATTTGGGAAAATGGCAGCCCGTAAAAAGAGCTGTCCCCATTGGCTTTACTGTACTTCCAAATGGGTAGGTTCTTGGGGTGGGGGGGAAGGGCAATTTCCAGGGGTGTAGGCAGGTTCACCTGTTAATGCACAAACAAGAAAATGCCTTGTGGCACCTTAAAGACCAAAGTATGTATTGTGCCATAACCTCTTGAAGCCACAGTCTGCTTCAGAAGATGCAGGGACTATTGCCCATACATGGCCGGAGGGATGTATAGAGGGAACCATCAATGGTGGGGTGAAGGAAGGGGAAAGCATGGCTGACTTCTGACAGTAGCGTCCATTTGCATAAGGCAGTTACTGAGAGCACGGACATCCTTCCATTAGTGACTAACGTATGCAGTGTAATAACAAAACCTTTATCCCAAATTGCATCACAGCCACATAGCACAGCTTGGGCCCCTCTTGGATGGATGGAGGTTTCCAGAGTTCAGGTCTGCAACTGGAAGGCTGCAAACACTTTGCCTTGTTGCCTCATTTCCATCAAAGACAAACTGAACTAAAATTAAAACCAACATTCGGTTGATTGCAGTAAGAGGAAAACCATATGGATGGTGGGGTAGTCACTTCCTGATCTGAAAATATGTGCAAGGGAGTTGCAAAATATGCACACTATGCAGCAAAGAACACTTCTTTTAAGCAGGTGCAGCTTTGACAAATGTTTTCCAGTTGTCTGTCTACCCAACATCTTCCTGTGAGCACCCACAAGGTGGGACTATGGCTCTGAACTGAAGCAGGTGAGGGAGAAAAAGGGGCAGCTGCATCCACTGCAGGGAAAGCAAATGAACAGAGAAGGAACCATTAAGCCTAAACCCGGTATGGCAATCTGCCTGCTGGCCTTGTGAGTACTTTCTCTAAAAGGTTTATTAAGCAGAAAAGGTGGCAGACAGGTTACTTAAAGAATCCTCACGGAATGGCAGGGGTAAGTGATTTATATCCCCCAGAGGCCTTGACTGCGGTACCCCAGCATGCCCAGCCCCCCTCCCACCACACTCCCTTCCCAGCAAGGCCGATACAGGTTTCTCTCTCTCTCCACTGGCGGCAGCAGCAGAGTCACATGGATGGTGATGGCTGGAAAAGGGGGTGGAGAGAAGGACCGCTGCGCCCTCCCCCTGGAAATCCTCACATCAGTAACTTTTTTTTCTCCTTCTGCAGCACAGGAAAAGGAAGGTATTCTCAGGATTCTCTGGAAGGTGTGTGCATTTTTAAGTACATTTGTGCAAGTGCAAGTGCATGTGCACACATGTGCAAGAGAGCTTTCCCCAAGCCAGCATGACATGGTCCTTGGGGCTGGACTGGCTGTGCACCTGTCCTGGGACCAAGGCAGGCGGCACTGTAGAGAGAGTGCACTGGAAGGGCTCGACATCGAGATGCCTGCTGCACGAAAGCTGAAGTCCCTCAAGGGTTCACTGATGTGCGTGGGATTCTATGCACAGATGCTGCTCAGCAATCAAAACTTAGTCATTAGAGTTTGAAATCAGCACAGCCAATACCATACTAGGCCGTACAGAACATTCATACCAAGTATGGCACCTAGCAATATATGTGGGATTTTTATGGAGGACTTTTATTTAAATATGAGCAAGTTTCTAGCTCTCGGGCTTGTGCACTGAAAAGTGCACGCAGACTTCAGGAAGTGTCACCTTGATTACTGAGCCTATGTAAGAGTTCCAGAGGCGAGGAGTCATCCCTTCCCCAACAGTCATCAGCTCCTTCCCCACAGTCCCATATTGTGTTATGTGTACCTGAATGCCATTTCACAAAGTAGCCAAACTCTGCAGAACACTCCACATTTTTGCAATTACCTTAGGCCTCTTGCATAATGTATGCAAATACTAGAGATTTCCGCAACTGCTCACTAGTTGCAAGATCAAGTTCAGGGTTTGGTGGAGTCCTCACAACATATGCGGGGAAATCAGAAGTGCCTTGTTCAGTTCATGCAAATGTGCTCACCAATGGCTAAAAAGGCGTCCCGCACATCTCCAGACATCCGCTTGCTGATGGCATGTGCCACGTCATGGTTTGTCAGCTTAATGAACTCCTGGAAGACTGCAAGGATCAGGGACACAGTGAGAGATGTCAGGATTTCCACCACAGCAGGCCCAACCAAAAACCTACATCACGGGCCAAACCAACCTCACTGCTGAGCCCTAGGCTGGTGACAAGAGGGCCATAAGGTTGCTGATGCTCTCTGGACACTTTTATAGTGTTTAGGGCCAAGCGAAACATCAGGCTGATCACACATAATGGAGCTGTGTGTGAAAGTTGTGACTGCCTTCATGCAATCACGTGCAGTCCCACTTTGGGTTGAAATCCTGGTTTAAATCCTGTTTAAGCAGTCACCCCAATTCCCCTTGAAATTCCTTTAGAACAAAACAAAGCCTCCTCTGACTCCATGGAGATGCCTCTTCCTTGTTTTTTTTAACAGCCCCATATGGATGTTTGTAGAAATTGAAGTGTGGGGAAATGGGAAACGGCTCCCCTGGAAGGACTATGATTCTGCTCCAAATTGGGGCTGCACATGTGAACACAAAGGTAAGTGCAGCTATCACACAAAGCTCCATTGTGCGTGAACAGCCAAGTGTTCAAAGTGACCATCCAGGTTCAAGCAGACACTGCCACAGGTGGTATCAACTATCAAGGCACACCACAAGAATGGGCCATTAATCATTCTGAGGAAAGGTGTACTTGACAAAATGAACCTCCTGCTCTGGAATTACAATGGCCAGACAAGATAGTTTCCTAGAGATAAAAAGGAGAAAGTCCAGGTTTGTGCAGCAAAATGGTTGCATCAGAGCCTCCTTTTCTTCTAGGCCCCTGGGGGGTGACAGCAGCCCTTTCCCAAGCAGCAATAGCATGGCCTGAAACTGTCAGGTCAACGAGTGAGTTTGTGTTTAGCTCTGGACTAAGATGAACTCGCTGCAGTCACTCCCTACCTCTCCTGAGCTGCGGGTAGCTCTGCGTGCATAAAATGCTCAAGAACCGTGTCTCGAGGGATGTCGAGTCATCACTGGAAACATCAGACAATTTCTGCAAAAGCAATGAAGAATGAAGGGGTGGGGGAGACAGAGAAGGACAGGGGCCAGAAAAATCACTCCTTTGGATTGCTGAGAATCTACACTGGTGCTGTCCTACAAGGGGGACAGAATAATGCCTGCATTTACCTATTCAAAAAAAGCTACAAGCCGGAGCAAATCGACCCGGTTTAACAGAGGTGCTCCCCTTCCCCAGTTAATACTGCATCAGAGATTGTGAAAGCCACTCAGCCCAAGCTTCCATGTCCATTATGAAAAGTCCAGTGTCTTCTCTCTCTCCAAGTCTAAACCGGTCTCCATAGGTGCAGGACATATTTCCATGCAAAGTGATCCTGTGAGGGGGTCACATTTAGGTTCACAAACTTTTCTACTGAGCTTGTTAATACACTGTATCAGTTTCATCACAGACTGTTAGATCTGAGCTCTAGGCAAAGAGCTGCTCATTTCCTGCCTTTCTGCTATATAGCCTCTAGGTGGAGCTGTACTATAACAGAATAACACAAGGAAGAAATCACACTTCCTTTTGCCTTCACAATTAAATGCTTCATTCTCCCTGCTCTAAAAAGACTGGGAGTGCTGGTTAGAAACTGGAATCTCATGTTCTTTAAAGAATCTGTAAACAACTGTGACAGGGAATGATGAGCACATGATACATTGTAAAAAGATCAAAAGGTCCTTGTTCTTTGCTTATAATTATGATAGAGACACGCACTCTCTAATGCAGCCTTCCTCAAACTGGCGGGGCCCTCCAGATATTCTGTACTACAATTCCCATCAGTGAACAGCTGGTGGTATTGGAGGCTGTCATCTTAAACATCTAGAGGGCAGCAGGTTGGAGCAGTAGACCCCTCCCCATTTCAAGAGCACTAACACCTCCAATATAGAGGTTGTCAGTTCAACGTTTCTTATACTGATCACTCCACTGCTTTTCTCTCTAGCCCAAATAGGTAAAAACAGCTCTCGCTCTTTCCACCTCCACCTTTATGCATGGGTGCGAAATGAACACACAGCAACGACAAAAGCATCAAGGTCCCTCCCCAGGTGTCCTTCTCTCGAAAGGTCATGTGAAGCTGCCCACTACAATCATCACTACACTGCCGAGCATGATTATGGGATTCCCCAAGTTGCAAGAAATCTGCACACATCTCCAGCAGCACCCTGGATCACTGGTGGCTTCCCCAAGAACTTCAGTCACCCTCATCCCGTACTTAACTGGTCATCCCAAACAAATAAATTAATCCCTTTGCTCTCCCCTATGTAGTTCCTTCTTCTACCCCTGCCCCCCAGCTCTGCAGAGGGTAAAAAGGAAGGCACCTTTCCCTCCTGATTCCAAACGTGGCTGAGGAAGGATCCACAGTTCTCCAGCACCACACATGCCTTGCATGCAAAAGGTCTCGGGGTCAATGCTCAAGTAGAGCAGGCAGCACTAAGCCACCTGCAGTGTTCAGACTGCACCTACGGAAACTTCTTGTGCTCGAGACACTTTGTTCCCAAAACAGGGAATCTGGTTCTCTGTGTGAAAGGCCGGATACCAGCCAGCATGTCTGCATATGAAAGAGACCCACGTAAGGCTACAGGCCCCAGGCTGAGGGGAACCCTCCCTTCAATTCTGAAAAGGTTGTGTGGAATTTTGCGCTCTAAAACCTAACCTCAGCGGTATTCTTAGATGTACAGGAGTTGAGGGGGTGGGGGGCAGGCACTCACCAGGGCTTCAGCAGCAACCTGATAACAGAGAGAAAGAGAGAGAGAGAGAAGAAGAAGGCAACAGGGTCAGAAATGGTGCTGCACAGGCCTTTCTGGGATATTCACAGATAAAAATGGGGCTGTTCTAATGTCTCAAGCTGACACCAGCATTAGTACACATTATGGTACAGTGGCAACAGAGGGACATGATATTTTCCATGTCTTTTCTCCACATGGAGGTCTAAGTGTGTCCAATTCAGCAGCTAAACTAACAACAATAACCCCTTGCCTGCAAAATCTCAATTCAGAAATAACCAGTTAATATAAATGCAACGTGGCAGGGAAATTGAAAAGAAACAGAGCTTATGGGCAGCAATTGTTTCTATGCCTGGGCTGTAAAGTAATGTATGATTTATTTTCTGATCAGATGTACAATAATCCTAAGCACAAGGTTTTTGCCGTAGTGCACTTTCAATCTGATGAACAGAGGTAGGCCAAGGTCAGATTGAGAAGTGTAGGGAAAGCGAAGAAACCATTAATGTTAAGACTGGAAGGAGACACAGGGCTCTTAACCAAAGAAAGCTGAGCCTTGGTTTGTGAGTATGGCTGGAAAGAACACCTTTGGGGAAAGAAAAGTGGCCCGGGAAAGTGCTTCCTGCTGCCAGACTCGGCATGCTGATGTGCCATCTATGCTAGAATGAGGTTTCACAATGCTGGGGAGAAAGTCTCACTGGCTGATTAATACCACATGCTTAGCATTCTAGCGTGTATTCACACCTTGCTTAGCACTGGGAAGCACTGAGGTTTTGCTATGATCTACCACAACTACAGTATTTTAGCCAGCATCTTCTGCATCTCTCTCTCTCTCTCTCTCTCCCCTCCTACGAGAAAGTACAGCTTGCCCAAAACGCCCACATGCGCGCACAAACATGCAAAAGGAATGGAGTGGTAAGGTCAGTGCAGGCACAAGACCTGCCCTGTTCATCGTTTCAGCCAAAAGGAAGCAAAGCTAACTAACGCCCATCTCTCCATATCACAGAGGGCTGAGCTGAAAATATACCAGTAAATCTTCCAACCTCACACACCATAGTAGGCATTTAAAACCAGACCATTTAACTAGTATTTTTAAGGAAGCTGTCCCTGATTATGGATACAGTATTGCATCCTATGTAACCCTTCAGAATTGGATGCTTTAGACATCTACAGGCAAATTCCACCGGGAAGCTGAGTGCTGGAGCACTAATTAATCATTATAGGCCTTTATCACCTTGTATAAGGCAAGCCAAACTTATGTATAGCTGAATTCTAAGAGGATGGGGAATCCTTTTTTTTCTCCTTTGGTAGTACTGGTATGTTATATTTGTATTGTTGTTGCAGGGCTAAGAAACAGTTATTTATAAGCTGCCAGTTGTGGTCATCCTATGTTCTGGAGTTAAATTATCTGCCAAAGAACTATTGAACTGTCCAGTACCTACTGGAACCAGAGAACTATCAGAACTGGCTAACTGAAAAGTTGCAAGCAAGAATTCAGCCTTTCCATCTTGACTAAGAAGGATCATTTGTGGCATTTATTTGTACTGGGGAACTGCTGCATGTTTGGGGGAACAAATTTTTACATAAGACATGTTTGGTTGTACATATTTTACTCTATTCAAGCCTTCTAGAAACCACAGAAGCTATATCTACAGCAACCTTTCCCATCCTGGCACCCTCTGGATATGCTAAGCTACAGTCCCCATAATCCCCAGCCAGCATACTCACTGGCCATGTTGGCTGGGTGTGATGGGAATTGTAAGCAGCACAACTGGAAGATGCCAGGGGTTAATGAAGACTGGCCTATGTGAAGGTTTGGCACACATGAACAATCACGCAATCTGAGTTCAAAGTCCAAACTGAGAAACCCTCATGACGAGAGTTGCAGAACACAAGATCCTCTCTAAATACATGTAATAAGTGCAGGACTGGTTTGGAGGGTCTTACTGTCAGGTGCCTCTAAGGAAGAGCTGAAAGCCTACCATTCCATGTTATCTTTTTTCCAGCAAAAGCAATAGACTAACCTTAACCAGTGCAGCATAAAACCTCAACTCTCCTCTCCTTCCATAAATCTACCATGCAGCTTTCCCATATCATGGGCTGGCCAAATGAAACTCCTTCTCCCATAGGCTGGTGGGTTTCCTTAAGCTTAAAGGGAATTGTAGTGCTGGGCATTTTTTCTGAGGCAGACTGCTCACTTCTCTCCTAGCTCTGGGCTGCAGAAGCTAGAGCTATGGCCCTATCGAGACACTCAAGTTACACAGCTAAGAAGGGAACGGCGTGCTGGCTCAGCCCTCCCCATCAGCATCTTCAGTGCCTTCCCCGAGCTGGAGGCAAACATCTGCAGCAGAAGTTATGTCTACTTGGGCAGGCTCAATCCATCAGGATCCTAAACCCAGGGCTCTACATTACACAAGGAACCCAACACAGAAGAGGCTCCAGTGCTGAACTTGTCTCCAAATTGAGGAGCATATCAAGATGGCAGAAGGGTGGGGATGCAGCTAATGTTCCTCCTCGTTCACCTCACATCTGATTCATAATTCCAAGTGCCTGCCCTAACTGTGATGCACAAGCAAGCATTCCTCTTGGCATTTCTGTTTAAAAGAAAAGTGGCATTGGGACAGTAGATTTTAGGGCCATGGTGGTAGCCACAGGAAGCAAGGTAGCATCATTTAACCCTTTTCCTTTCCACTACTTCAGTACAGAACACCCAAGCCACTTCATCCCCCTCCCACAACGAGGTCAAAAAGTGTATGGGGGGAAGGGAAGGGGAAGAATGTAATTTGGAGTACAGAAGCTCTGGGCATGGAAATAGTTAATTCCTCACCTCTGTTCCCCGTTCTAAATCCCTGCTTTTCATTTAAACATGGCCCTCAAGGCATCCTTAAAAACATTGCTATGATGACCTCTTAGGGCCATTTCATACATTCAGTAGTGTTGAGTGCCAACCCTCTTCAAGGCTGTAGGTGGAAATTTCAATGTCTGAATGCCTCCCCATGAAACACACACAGAGTAGAGTGCATGCACTGCATGGACAAGGTTCCTGTTGCCAGACTGCATAGTTAGGTAATAGCTGTATGGTTCTAAAATATGTTCCTATGCAGAAAACCACTCTATTAGGCCTAAGGGTTTCAGCTGAGCCGGCTTCCTTGATATGCTCTGGATGAGTTTAAACAACAAGAAAACCACGCTCGAGGGTGAAGCACACTTTCTTGTTGAAATGTGCATTATCATGCCCTCTGAATTCAGCTGTAACCATGAAGGCACATGAAGGGAACCCATGGTTTCCTGTTGTGTTGTGAACTGTGGATGGTTCACCATGCCTTGTTAACTTGGTTGGGTCAAGACAACATCACAACCCACATTTCAACAACTATCCATGGTTCACTGATAACCCTCACACAACCTGTTATCATGTTGTCTGAATTCAGTCTCTCTCTCTCTCTCTCTCTCTCTCTCTCTCTCTCCCTCCCTCCCTCCCTCCCTCCCTCCCATGAGCAGCCCAAAGCGACACACGCCTGGAAGTGGCTTGACACTTAATTCTTGAGAAACTAGCTTTGACAGGCAAGTATGGGTAGCTATTTGCTGACAATGCACTTGGTGACAAGTTGCACTACCTTGTATTGAGGATGCTGGCGGCTGGGCTAAATTTGCAAAGGACTCAGACAGTAGCTTTAGTTGGATGTAATCACAACAAAGAGTTTTCCATTACATGAATGAGCTTGGACAAGCCTCAGGCTCACTTGCTACCCCACTATCTGGCAGACACATGAGGATCAAGGAAGTTTTCCCTTCTGTTTTTAATTAACTGCAGTTTAGCATTATGTCCAAACTTGGACAAAAGGTATTGTTAGTCTTAACTAGTGTATACTGAAACAAGTACATTTCAAACCTTAGTTTATGAAACTGACTTGCTTCAACAAACCACGGCTAAGAGTGACCACAGTTCAGATGTAATGTTCAACTGCAATTATCTTAAAATGCAAGTAGAAGCATCTAATCTTGTGAAAGCACTAGGTGGGGCTGAGCAGGAGGCAAGTCTGAGGCTCATGCATGTAAGGATAAACCACAGTTTATCAGTATGTCTTAATCGTTAACTTATATGCTTGGATTTAAGGACAAGCATGAGAACAATACAAGATAACAAATGGGACTTGAATAGTTTTACACGTGCTTTTCCAATCCTGATTTGGGGCTCACACATTTACAGATATGCAAAAATCAGAGAGAGGATAAGAGGCATGCGATGTATTTAATGTATCATGTAGTTTAACTCCAGGACTTAAGCAGGATCAAGTGTATTGTCAATGGAACAAAAAGTATGGCACAAATCTTAGAAAGCTGAGATTATTACCAGAAAACCAGATGACAGAATGATTACACACTTTGACTTTTATTCTATACTGCAGAATGTCTGAACTTCATTCATAAAAAGTGGCACAATGTAAATTAGTTAAATGAAACTGTTAAAAATTCAATTTACAAATGTGAATGTTTTAAGTATTTTTAGCATCACCAGCTATGAACATGACCATTGACAAAACACTTGGGATCAGTTTTCTTTAAGGTACCTAGAAGCGTTTTTCCTTTGTATATTATCACTTGGAACCACAGCTGCTGCAAGTATGGCTGAGTTGTGTATTTTCAACATGTGGCTCAGTTTCCAGGTGTCTTCCCACCATGCACACTAAGGGTACAACCCTATGCAGGCTTAGACAGAAGAAAAGTCCTGCTACTCCAGCATTCCCCACACACAGCCTAAGAACAAAGGATTGTGCTCCAAGGCTGCCACCAGACCTAATGTTCACAGCTTGAATTAGAACATGCTACCTGCTGTTTTAACTATCAGGGAACCCATTACCAGGCCAAGCAGCAGGACCCCTTGCACAACATGTGAAGTTGTGATGATGATGAAGCCACCCATAGGGCACAGCGACTATGTGGCTTAGTGTGTTGTCTGAACCTGATACACTTCCTGCAAGGTGGCTTCTTTGTGGCTGCAAATCCACCCCAACAGGCCTTTTGCTTAACCCTTGGTGTGTCATCCAAACCTCTCAAAGAGAGTTTTGTCACCTGATTGCAGGAAAAACATCTTTCTAAATAAAAGCCAAGCCACAGTGAGATCGTAACGGTTTTGTAACACCTACAGGGTACAGGGGAAACCTTGCTGCTCCTGCTGTGCCCCCAGGGACAGATGCCAGAGTACAGAGGCAGGAGGGCAGAAGAAGTGGCTGCAGAGCCATCATGTGCCCGCTCAGCTGATGCACACATGATGGCCCCTGGGGCAAACAAGCCACACGGTGCAGCCAGTTCTGCAGTGCTGCTTGTTGTACCAAGCAAACCCACCAACTGTCTTGCTGCAACATTCAGTAGCAGAACCGAATTCCCAAAATAGCAATGGCCACTTTAAGTCAATGCATTTCAAAGATGGTACAGTACTTTATTTATTGGCCTTGGAGCACTCAGGATGCCACTTGTATGATGGCTTGTTTTATTTTTAATTGAGAAACTAGAATATATTTTAGAAGACTGGCTCCATAGCCTATTCATTTCATCTTCGATGTATTGAGAGCCATGGGCATGTTATTTCATAGAGTGCACAGATGGTTAGTTAAAAAGCACAGGCAAAATTCAGTCAGTGTCAATAAGAAATACTGGTCCCTGCACCTGCAGTTCATGTTCCACATACAGCCAAGTGTGCACTTCTCACCTTGGCATCTGCACGAGCTTTGGCAAGGTCCTCTCCTGCTTCATCACGGTTCCCCTGTGTTTAAGCATTGAAAAAACAGTGAATAAAGCTGCACAAAGCAGGAGTCACTGGGTTTAAGCCAAGACCAACAGCCAGCCTGGCCCAATGGCAGCAGGCAACAACTCTGGGGAATAACCCGCCCCACTGCCCTGGATCTCCTTCCTTGAGGTTGACCCCCCCCACCCCCCCGCCACCTCCAACTGCTCATAGTGTCATAGAGGAGTGCATTATGGACAGGCATGACGGCAGCTACCGGAGCTCAGAAAAAGCCACCACCACAACTGCCACTGCCCTTCCTCAGAACACCCCGGCTGCCCTTCTGCTCTTCACATCCAGCAGAAGTAAATCACGGAGGGACAGCCTGTCCCTGTGGAGAGAGAGGATTCTGCTCAAATACCCAACAAACGTGGCGGTGGGGGCGCATCAACAATCCAGTGCAGAATTAAAGATGCTTAAACCAGCCAATTTAAACTAGGGCTGAAAGCCCTAAGTCGCCACTACAACTGCAGCCCCCGAATCAGAGCTGGCCCATGTAGAATGAAAGGTGGAACTGAAGCAGTGATAAACTACTTCAGGCTGCAAGAGAGCTGGTCCCAAGCCTGTCCAAAATGGTCTCCTCTGTGGTAGAAACCAACCAACCAGCAATCCTGCTGCATTACTATTTGCAATATAAACGGATTGTTCATTGTACTACCCCTACCATTCTTTATTTAATGGTAATTGGTTGCTTAATAGAAAATGACTGTGTATCAGTAGTTCCCTCCACCCCCATTCCTAAAAGACACTTGCAAGAGGTGATTTGACATTATGTTTTAAACTGTTCAGATAATTGAATGAATAAGTACATGTAATAAATGAATACATGCAAATATACACGGGGATCATCATCATGTGGAAGGTAAATTCCATCCACCATAGATTGGGCTATTTTTATTGGTTTCAGTGAGTGGGAAGAGCGAGAGACTATGTTTTGGCAGAAAGGATAAAGCCATTTAAATCAGCTACCAGACTGCACATAGCTTGCCAGCCTTTTCCCCCTTGCCAGGCCTCTCCTCTCTTTAAGGCACACAAAACAGGCAATCTCTACCATCATCAGTGCACTTCTGCGTCAGAAAAATGCTTCCGCTGTTTTCAGTGTTTCTTGTTGTCAAGGTGACTGCAACCTTGTTCCCACACCCCAAAAAGGAAGAGAGAGATTATAACCCTACTTTTGTGTGGAAGCTACAAAAGCTGCACCTCTTCATGAATGCCAGAACGTTGGCAATATCAAGTTCTGTTTTAAATGAAAGCTATTAAGGAATGAGTCCTTACCAGAGCCAGAGAGATGAGGATCCTTTTGAAATGTCCGGAAGTGTCAGAACTCAGTGCATCCTCCAAACTAGTATGGTAGGCTAGAGAAATAAAAGAGGAAAAGGGAAAAGGACTTCATAAGGGAGATACTAGATTATACATCAGAGACTGAACCTCATCTCGCTTCCCCTCTGAACACCTGTTTGCCTAGGTTCATTGTTACTCATTATACACCTGCAAAATGACAGATGATAGTTGCACACAAAGAACAACCTAGTGCGCCAGCAAAGACTCTTCTGGATCTAAAAGATGAGTAAGTTTATTGTGGCTTTCATGAACCACCCTTCTGAAAACTAATGTAGCAACACAAGGCATTGAATGGGAATACCAGTCTTGTTTTTATGATGATACGGAGTGCACAACAATCATGCATACTAAAGGATTTTATTTATTAGATTTATATCCCACCTTCTTCCTTTTCAAGGAACTCAGATGGCTTTCTTCTCAATCTTACCCTCACAACAGCCCTGTGAGGTAGATTAGAATGACAGTCAATGACTGTCTCAAAGTCACCCAGTGAGTTTTGTGGCCAAGCAGGGACTATAGAACCTGGTTTTCCCAATTTCCAGCCCAACAAACTAACCACTAACTACACTGGCTTCTGATATCTACCACCACAACGCCAGCAATACAAGCATCTAGAGAGCAACCCCATTTCATTAATGCACCCATTCTCATTTTCACAGCTTTATGTTAATTCTAAGTTAAGCAGCCATCTTGTCCTTCAAAATAAGTTCTGGGTCTGCAGAGCATTTCACCTTCTTTGTACGCAGCATTAATGGCTTGGATCTCCCGATTGTCCCGCGTAGCCAAGATTTCAATGAGGACACTTTCATCCGTTCCGGCCCCCTGAAAGCATAAAGATACTTGACTGCTAAGCCATTTTCAAAGATACTTTAGAATTGTCAAGTACTGGGAGAAGGAGCACTGCAGCAGTCTACAGACTCACCCCTTCAAATTGTAGCTAAGCAAGGGCAGCTTGAGGAAGAGCCAACTAGAGGAGCCATATGCAGTCTGAGCCAGTTATGCTGGATTAGAAGAAAGTGCCTAGCCCTAACCCGAACCCTGTCTTCCCAAGGGCTAAAGATCTCATGAATGGAAAAGCAGCACAGAGGATTTTCCCACCTGCCCTTCTTCTCAAGGGGCTGCCTCACCTGAAGCTTGACCAGTGCCTGCAGCACATGCAATCCATGCTTTGGGTTTGCAGAACTGGCCTTTGATTCTGGGATCCTTGTGTCACACCCAGGACTGTGTGCTCTGGACCATTATTCTCTCTCTCACACACACACAGAGAGAGAGAGAGAGAGAGAGTGTGCGAACGAGCGCACGAGCGAGCAATGGAAGTCACAAGTTACTGCACGTCTCGTCTTCCCCTCATATGAACTTTCTTGCTGTTATCATTGCTTCAAGCATCCTTTGGACAGTCTCCACTTGGAATGATCCTGCAGCACTGACCCTCTCAGCACCAAAGCCAGAAAGGAATCATGTGAGGGGCTCTTATAGGCCATCTTGTCTAAACTCTGGCTCAGTGTAGGAGATTCTGCTTCACTCCAGTCTGCTGCAAGAATTAGTTAAGCAAGCTACCACTCATAAAACCGTATCAAGGTGTGGGCAGACTGCAATGCACCCAGTGGCACAGTTGGTGATTTTACATTCCGAACTTAGGAGGTCCCCTTTTTGTGTGGTCATTGGCATTACTTCACTTATTCCAAAATGCAGTAGGCACTTAAAGGGCTCCTGTTTATTTTGCTGAATGGGGCCTTTGCTGAATGCTTCCCAATGGCACTGCTGAATGCACCTGCAAGCATGGTAGGTCAAGTGGTAGATGTCCACTCCCCGAGAAAAGTTGCATTATGTTCTCCACAGGGAAGAACTCTACTATACCTCCATGGCTTTCTTCAGCTGCTTTGCATCATATTGTTCTGGTGTCATCATCAGTCCAAGGATAACCTTTGCCAAAGTCCCCGAAATTTCAGATTTCAGGTCTGCTATCAGATCCTGTCATGGGAAACATGAAATAAAACAGAGCCAAAACCCCAATAGCTGCTGCCAGACAAGGTAGACAACACTGAGCTAGATACAGTTGACCCAGCTCCATACGAAGCAACTGCCTAACTAGTAGGAAGCAGCCATGGCCAGAGGAGGGGGAATAGCACAGAAAAGAGAGAAGAAACGTTGACCTCAAAACCGGACTCTAGAGGTGGAGTTGTTCTGACAGCAAATAAGATGATTTGTAGACAGCTTAGCTGCCACTGCTTTCCCAAGCAGTCCTGTTCAGTCTAAATCTGTATAAATGAATCCCCCCAAACCATCCCTCAACACAAAAGAAACAGAGTTGGCCCTGAGAAAGATTCTAAAATCTGTACATGTGGTACTTTATTAAAGTCAATTCAAAGATCACCAAAAGAAAAAAGTACAAGCTTTCAAGTTCTCCAGATCTCCTCATGGAGTAAGATGTTACTTATTTTGGGAGTTTTTGGGAGTTGGGTGGAAGTGAGCAGATGTAGCAAAGGTCCTGCATGATATACATTTAAGAAGCAGAGGCACCCCAATTCTTGAAGTAATTGATAAAGGTAGTAAAATTGTTTCTTTGCTTTTAACTATCAAGAGGCAGTTTAAAAAAATGTATTTCTGAAAGAAGGGCTAGAAATATAGTGCAGTTGGCCCAGATACATAATAAATCTCATTCTCTTCATTTTCTCCCTCTGCCTGAATATTCAGAAGAACGGGCCTAGAAAATGTCAGTAGATCAGATCACAGATTTCCTCTAATTACACCCTTAATATATGAAGGCAGTCAACAGAAAGGTAGTGCTTATGCTTTTATTTTAAAGAGAGCGTTTTGGCTATTTTTGAAGCAGGTGCAACCTATGGGAACTGGAGGAAACAGAAGCAGTGAATTACAGACTCGTGTGTGTGTGTGGTGGGCAAAGCAACATTGTAGTAAGAGGCTCAAGCTAATTACCCGGCCGTAATGAGACTTGTATGCCTTTATGATTTCTTGCCTCTGGGTGTTACTCCGATGTGTGACCACCTCAATGATAGCATCTTCATCAGTCCCTGAAACCCAAATATATAGAAAATATGATTGAGTTTTTGCCAACTTATGAAACTAACTCTAGATGGAAAGTACATTTGGATTTGACTCTGAAACTCACCTAAGGAGCAACACAATAAAATTCTTCCCAGACAACAATGGGAGGGAAGCAGCTCATTGGGCTGAGTTCAGACAACGTGATACAGAAGCTATGTACAAAAGCTGAGTACAGGTTGTTGCTGAACTGTGAGTTGCTACTGAACCATAGGTTATTATGTTGTCTGAACCCAGCTGCAATAATAAACCATGCTTGTTCATGATGAACAGCTCACAGTTCACGACCTGACAACAAATCATGGATTCTCTTCATTGGCTGTTCACAGTTGGTTAGTATAGCTGAATTCAGAAACATACCAACTTGTGTTTCAGTGGAAATTCATGGTTTCGAGATAACCCATACTTGACCCTTGACTGTGGATTACCATGTCTGAACCCAGTCATCAGGCTGAGAAAGGAGTGGGAGGGCATTCACTCTCATTTAAGCTTAAAATCTCTGAGACAAATAATCTTACAAATATGCAGAATTCAAAATTTCACTTGTGCCATGGAGCATTCTGGAGCATTCATTGCCTTTCCAATCTATGTCACAGGCTGCAGACCTTGGGGCACCCCAAACAAAAGCTGACCAAAGAAACTGTAGGCAGAAACTCAAGTTCTCTCCCTTCAGGCTAAGCCAAGGAACTTGGAGGGGGCAAACATGCAAAAGGGATACAGAGAAGGTCTCTGCCATAGCAGCCACACTACACAAGATCCATTGACCTTCTTCTAGCCACCGTGTGACGATTCCTTAAATTTCTCTTGTAATGAGTACTGGGGGTTTGGGGTTAGGGTTTTGACAGCTTGGTATCAATGTTCCTTCTTCCTTGGAAAAAAGGAGCATGCACATTTGCACTTAATGTGCTGCTTACTTTCTAAGAATAGCCTCAATATGAAATAAAAAGCACATTTCTTCTAAGGCATTGCAACCATCGCCAAGAGCGCACTTCAGAAAATGCAACTTTATAATGTTCTATCTTCTTTTTTTCTTTCAAACAACCATTCCCACCACTTGACTTCATTCAAAGCCAGACTGGAAATATACTAGACATTTTCTCCTGGCTGTTGAATGTTCCTAAAAGAAAACACGACTTCTCTACAGTACATCCCCACTAGCAAATACCCACTTTTTCTGGCAAATTTAGCTTCTTCCCATTAATTAGGTTTGCATGACTTCACAGTCCAGTGCGAGCAATAAGCACAGTAGGCCGTCACATTGTGCAAACCAGGCTGGTTCCTGCAGGTAGTTCGTTTGGGGACAAAAATCCATGCCGAAAAACCACGGCATTTTTTCACTGAGACAACCCATGCACGAGGGGTTGTTTCAGCCATGATCGGTTGCTGTGCTGTCTGAACCTGGGGAACCGTCCCCATCATGTCTGAAGAGAAGCAGCAAGGGAGCCTCTTGGTAAGAGTGGCAAAAACTTATTGCCACTCTTACCAAACTCACCTGGGCCACTACCAGCCACTCCACCAATGCCCAAATGGCAAGCTGCAACAGCCCCCGCTGGCTCCATGTCTGCCACCAACACTGTAAACCCTTTTGCACTCACCATGGTTCTTTCTCCCTCTTTTACATATTTTTTTTTCATTTTTGGAGATCATGTTTTGTGATCGCCAGTCTGACAGAAAATGACAGCCCTGCTGAAGCACGATTGTTGCTGCTTTTAACAGGGACACATGCAGGCGCGAATGCCGATTATTGTTGTTGTTGCATTGCATTCTCATTGCATATGCCCATGTCAGAAAACTATGGACTTCCAAGCAAACCTTTCTAAAAAGAACCAATTATAGCAGGAAGCACAGACTAAATGGGTCTTCTGAGGGAGGATGACAGGAGCGGGACAACAACCCATAGCAAACCCGATCATCTGTTTCATGAACGGCCACTGCACATCACTTATTCACAGGGTGGGTTGCCAAGAAGTGGAAACTTATTCTTAGTGTGTAGGGGGCAATTTTCCCTATCTCGTGACTGTAACAAACTGAGATCATCTGTTATTTGCATTTCCAAATAACATCTCCTACTCAGCCAAACAAAAATCATAGCATCAGGACTATATGTAGCTGCAGAATCATCACATTTATGAGAAAGAGGATAGATCTCTCTCAGATCATTCTTTCATCCAATTATAACTGAGAGCTACTGAGATAGTTCTGCCTCCTACTGGACATTTGAGGAAGCAGCAGGCTAAGAGATTTCATTTGTTCATAGGCAGACATCTCTTCTCCCAACCCTGAAAAGAGAAGAAAGGGTTCCTCCTCTCTGATGGGGAGAGCTGGAGCACTCTTGCCATGATGCAGCAACTCTGCTGCTCTGCAGTGCCGGAATCAGTCAGCGCTCCATGGGGCATAAGTGTCTCATGCCTGTTTCCAGACACAGGAAAAGGCAGGGAACCAAGTTGCCTCAGAAACCTCTTACTTACTTTCAGCTAAAACATGTGAGTATTCTTGTAAAGCTTGCCAGCTTTTACGGCAAGATTAAGCAGCTGGGGTGCACCTGGACAGACCAATGAGAGGGCAGTGTGCAACGGTTCCACCTTCTCTGCTTAATGGATTTTCTTTGTAAGAGAGAAGCAGCAGGAAACATGGGTGATTCCTTGGCATCAGGAGCTGCTAAACACATATTGACATGTCCCTTTCGCAAATTCAGAAAACTGGCCTTCAGGGTGAAGTACTTTGCATTTTGTAAAACACTGCCTTCCAGTATTTGTGACTTACTGGAAATCTTAAAAACACTTTAAGTTCTTATTTCATAAGCATCTTTAATCATAATGATTAACTGATATTACTCTTAGTGTTTCCTGTAACAGTAATCTGTCTTTCCTAGAATTACATACTTTTATAAACATATGTGCATAGCCTGATAGTATTTATGCCATCTTTGATCAAGTTAATATGTATTCAGAATTGAAACAGTTCATCATTTACCTTACATTTAAGCAGCAAAATTCAGCAGAGAACTCAGGTCACAGCAGGTGACACACCTGGCCTCCCTATCACCAGTCTGCTTGAGAAAAACAGTATTTCCTACACAACTGGCATCTCAGCATACTTTAGTCCCAAATTAGCCCTTTAAGCAGAACCACTCTTCTGCACTTGCCTTGCCTTCTAGGGACGTAACTATGGCTCCAGGAGAAGCAGAACAACAAGACATGTGATGCAGAGGGAGAAATGACCTGCATGCTATGGCTATCTAAGGCAGGGGTGGGCAGAAAATAGATCTCCAGATATTTTGGACTTCAGTTCCCAGTATTCCTGACCACTGACCATGGCAGCAGGAACCTGAAGTCCAAACTGTCTGGAGAGAAGGACACAAGAAGAGCCATGCTGAACTGGATCAAGGGTGCATCTAGTTGAGCACTGTTCATACAGCTCGACCTTCTGTCCACCACCAGTCTAGGGTACTCACTCAGGAGTAGATCTATCAGCACTCCAACCTGCTACATGAAGCAATTTGCTTGATGGGGAAGCCATTTACTGAGTAACTGTCCAGGTATGAGAAATGTTGTATAGTACCTTTAAAACCCATAAACGGCCTTACTGAAACAAGACCTAGAAACAGAGCGCTACTTAAAATATACCACATAGGAGGAGATACAGTCCACACCAGCCATTCCCAGTATGTGCTTGTCAAACCATTGGGTAGGGAAATGGGGGAAGCTGATGCAGACTTGGGGCACAATCTTAAGGAGAAAAGTGTGAAACCCTCAAACTCGAAAGCTCACACTCATCCAGTGCAGAACAGAAGAAGTGGAACTGACCATTGTTTGAGTGCATTTTCACTAGGTGACTGTTTTCAGCTGCCTCTCCATGGTGTTTCAGAGGGGGAGTGAAGAATGCTGGAAAGTCCTCAGGGTTGCTGCTATCCTGGTTGCTCCAGTCTCCATCTCCACCCTTCCCTGACCCCTTTAGCCCTCTCTGAGGTCACTTTCCTGACATCAGAGCAGTCAGCCCGATTCTTCCCACGCCGGCTGTGCGGGGGCGGAGGAGGGCTGGAGCTGATTCGCAGCTCTGCAAATCTGGAGGGCTCTACACACGCTACAGAATCATTGCATCCTGCACTAAGAAAAGTTCAGGTCAGAAAAACTCTACTTCAGGGAAGTGTGGACTTAAACTATTCTATCTTCCTTTCTTTCCTGGGAGTCTACTGATAGTACTTTTCCTCTGGACTGGTTCTTTTCACGCTGCATAAATGGAAAAACCCTTCACACAAAGCCTTACATACCAAAACCCTTCATTGCTTTCCTCAGCACCTTGGCATCATCATCAGCATTGAAATCTGCAGCTGGATGAATGGTTCCTTTTGGCTATGGAAACAGAAATTTATATTCAAACTCTGTCTAGCAAAGGGTGGGATATGAGAAGGTGGGAAGAGAAAGAGAAAAAAGGGCAAGGCAGCTATCAGGAATATAGCAAGCTGGAAAGGTACAATTCCTTTTCTTTAGACAAAGGGGAAAAAAACAGGCAAGCCAGGAAAGACTGTCCAAAAAAAAGGGTAATTTTAAAATCCTGCCCCACGCCCAACATGCTACTCCATTTTAAAGATCAAAACAGTGAATAAAAATAAATGGAAAGAATCTAGATAGATTTACTTCCCATGCATCTCCCAGAGTTGGTGTGGGGGGGGGGGGCAGGGGGAGTTGTCCTTGTCTTTCATTGACAATTAAGGTCCCCAAAGAATCCTTCAATCCACACGAGCTACCCTGTGACCATTACTTCAGTCTGGTGTCAAATTTCTCTATGAAGTGATAATGGGATTGCTTGAATGTAGGCCTGCTTAGAGCTTCACATGCACAAGAACCAGGGTGAGTTCACACAGTCCGTTCCAGGGAATGCAACTGCCAAAGCAGTTTATTACCACTTCTCAATTTGTGTCCAACAGTCAGGCATCATATGACTTGACATGAGATGATAATCTGAGATAATTCGGTTTACTTGTTGAAGCAATCAATGATAGCTGTAATTATCCCATGAAACATGTGACACATGAATTCACCCCCTGAAAGTGATTAGTAGGGGCAAAAAAGGCAAGATCTTTACTTATAACTTGATCTTATAAAGCAGCACTATGGTTCAGTTTCCAATAAATGAATGGCAAATGAGTACTCCGTTAAATTAAGCAAGAAACAAGGATCCAGAAGGCACACTTCTACAACCTTAAATAAGTAAGTACTCAGGGAATTGCACTGAAGCAAGCTTAGGGCAAGCAATTGTGCAGTGTGCATGTGGGCAGCGAAAATACTTTAATTAGACACACTCTCCATCTTGGCACCAGAGATAATCCATAGTAATGTGCACTGATGAGTTACCAGCATGTCATAAAGGCTAGTTCAGAAACACACACAAAACCAGCGAAAGGGGAAAGAAAAAATATTCTCTATGAAGCCATATTGGTCTAAAGAGTAAGAAAGAGCAAGTTTAAAGGTATGTGGTCCTATATATTAGTGGCAGTCCACCGAACAGAACAACAGCCAAGAGGCCGAGCAGAAAGGGGATCAGCAGCACGCAGCGTGTAGCAGCCGTGGTTTTCAAGCCAGCAAGGGATGGATGGGGAGAAGAGAGTGGGTGGGTTCTGACCTCTACTTTGGCCACTGCACTAAGTTCCCACATCTGGTAGGCCACCTGCGCAGCTTCAGGAAAGAACTCACCTGCAGCACTGAAATGGGAGGGGACAGGAGGACACAAGGTCTATGAAGTTGGTGCAGACACAGGAACACACGATGAGTTGGGTCTTGTGCAAACCTGTGAGTGCCCTTCCCGCCCCTCCCCACTCCCTCCATTCCCATGAAACAAAACAGCGCCAAAGCCCCACCTGAAAGTGACTTTGGATTACAAATCCTTCATTTCAAGCCAGACACAAGTGGCATTTCTGTGGTTTACGTAAACCTTGTAAATAAGCCCAGACTGTGCAAAACATTGCAGTAGCCTTCTGTGGGGTAACAGAAGAGAGAGAGAGCACTCCTAGTCTTTTGTCCTGCAGCAACCCAACTGCTTTTCTGTGCTGGGCATGGAAGCAGGAGGCTTCCTCCTCTAGCAACCACTTGGTTTTTCTGCTGAGTGCAGAGATGGTGCAGAGCACTTTAATAATGGGACCTCTTCCCCTACGCAGGGGAAGATCAAGACCACAGTGAGGGCAAAGGGCTAGAGTACCATTCAGATACTGCACTGGCATAGTAGGAAAAGCCAGGGTTTCCGTGGACAGGCCCTGGGCCTGGTGAAACAGAAAGCAGAAGTAGGTCCATTTCTACCTTGGGCTGTTCAGGCAAGCAATTTTCCATCTGCTAATCACAACATAAAAGTAACGTGTGGTGCTCCTGACATTTTCTAATCTCCATCAGAATCTCATTATACAACATCAATTAAAATTCCTTTAAAGGGCTTGGTTGGTAAAATACATGTCCAGTCCTTGAATTGCCAAAGGATCCCAGTTAGAAATTTCCACGGCCAGAGCCTAAAAAGTGCCTCAAAACCAGATTTGAATCCCTGGTAGTCCTTGCTATTGGACAAACTAGGATGGAAATCTTCTTTCATATATCCCAATGTGAGAGTTTTGGCTTTGAATGGGGTGCACACCCCACATGCTACCTGTGGCCCTGGGACACCCACAATAAATCCCACCCCCTGGCTGCCAGAGTGTCTGGGAATTCTAGTGGTGGGGAAGCAGCAGTACCTGCTGGGGTTGATGGGAGGAGAGGAATTGTTAGGGTTGCTCCTCAGCACCCCCAAAGCAGCCCCCCTCTTGCAGTAAACTTATGCAAGTTGCTGAAATGGAGGTGAAGTAAAAGCTCCCCTCCCCTGCAGTGGGTGTTGCGTGCGCAAGAGTCCCCACTCTCCTCCAAAGTGGATGCCGCTCTTGGAGCCAAAACGCCTGTGCAGCCTGCCGCTGGACATTGCCATTGGGAAAAGATGATTTGGCTTGGACCTTCCAAAGGCACTAGGCCATACATGCAAAAATGCATGTATTTTTCAGATGTGAAAGAGGGAATTACAACTTCACAAAACTCTGGAGCGTAATCAGTAAATCAGAACATCTTTCCTTTCTATCAGCAGCATGCACCCTCATCCCCCACCACATATGTGAACTCTCAGTGTCTTGACATGTAAGCCCACTGTGAGAACATCCAGCCTGGTCTCAGGCAGCACTAGGGTGGGGTTCAAATTATTATGCTCTTAACCCATCGAGGTGGCTATGCCACTGAGACAGAGCTGGAACTGTCTAGCCTTGTTGGGGGAAGTAAAAGGCATAGCGCAACTTTCAACCAGCAGCAGGGCTTACTCATCATCTCCCCCGCACAGCTTCAGCAGCGCATTTTTGTAGTCTCCAGATGTGTCACTCTGTGAAGACAAAAGGTCCAGGTTTGAAATACACTCAGACAACAGCCACTGCAGACAAGCCACCCAGAGACACTGCCCCAAATGAGAGAAAGGGATTAAGAATTGCATTTTAGGTCACTAAGTTATGAAACTCCTCCACAGGGGCACTTAGAGCACCACATATGAGACCCATCCCACCAAAACGCCTGCGCTGCTCCAAAGGAGAAATGATGCGCCACAAGCCCCATTTCCACCCACCACAGTTCAGTCTTTCCCAGTGTGGAAATTATGAAACTCCTCAATAGTTGATGCGTTTAGTTACTTACTGGCAATTTTAGTAAGTTCAGCAGGAAGGGTCAATAGTGTATGGCATGCAGAATCATTTAAGAGTCACTATTTAAAGTCCTCTGTGCTATAAAGCAGGCTCTCTCAACCTGGGGCCCTCCAGATGTTTGGCCTAGTGCCCTCCCCATCCCTTGCTATAAGCCATGTTGGCTGAAGCTAACAGGACTTGGGAATTAAAAAATCTAGAAGGGGGGAACACACAGTCCCCTTCCTTCCTGCAACTGTGCAGTAAAATAAAATAATAAATCAACAGGAATAATCTACAAAGCATAGTAGCTACAGCCAGATTTCTACACCTGGTGTCCTCCAGATCCACCATGCTGGGTACTGGGATATACAGTGCAACACATCTAGAGGGCACCAAGTTGGTGGAGGCTAGTCTACAGAGTGCTAGAAGGGTTAAATTTAGCTGGTAAGCAAGCTCAATGTATCCCTTTTTTGCTCAACTAAGTGTTATGAAGTGGCTTGCTGTTAAGTCTCAAAAGCAAACCAGCCATTTTTCAAAATTTGATTTCTTTTTACCTCCCAGTACAGCTCAGAGGAGCTGGCAAGTGAACGGGAGTAAAAACAGCCCTTGGTTGCTCATCCTTAAGCTATAGGGACTAATCCAGGCCGGGAAGGGATGCCATAAAGAGTGTACAGCAAATCTAGGAAGTTCTTCAAATGTGCAAGCCTTTTGAACCAAAATCCACAAACCACATCCTTGAAAGCTTTTCTGCCAGAGTCATGAGAAAACTCATGGTTGCTTATGGATCCTTTCCATGACATTATGGTGCTCCAGGTTCACTTCTGCTTTTTCAGAACACTTTCCCAGATTTTTTTTAGAATGAGGAAAATGGGGTATTATCTTGGAACAGGGGAAAAGGGGCCCTTTGTACCAAGCTTTAATTCTGTAAAGCAGTTGAAAAGAGACACTGCAATTAATAGCTTGGTTTAGAAAAGGTCTGATTCACATGAGAGGCATTCTTACTGAAAATGATGCCTTACTCTCTGAACTAGGAGAAATACATGCCAAAAAGGCCCAATGGGCTTTCTAGAAAGTAAAGTTTGACCCAAGCTGATCCCTATGTTTGGCCAAGTTTTTCTGTGCTGATCATCATAGCCTGAAATAGTGTCAGTGGAACATTTCTCCACAAAGTAGAAAGGAGTTAGTAGTCATGGTAAGAAACTGTTTGTTTCTCATAATCCCTGGGATGCATTCACTCAATATTTACCTCTATCATGTGATGTAGGGACTTCTCATATTTAGTCCGGAATATCTCCCGGATATCCAGCATGTCTAACTCGCTACGCGACACCATGATACGAATCAGTGTGTTGTCTCTTGTCCCCAGACCCTGCAACAGACCCCACAATGATCACAACCACCCCAAGCAGAGCAGAATATCAGTATGCCTAAAGACATTAATTAATGCAGGAACAAAGAGCAATAGAATATAAAAGCCATTAAAGTCATCAATACTCAATTTATCCAAAGCTTATCACAACATCTTCCAGGCTATAGCCAAAATACTTAAAAATGCTTGTGGTGTAGTATCATCTACCTGGTCCTAGAAGGTGGATATTAACTACCAGCCTATCTAGGTAGGTGTGGATAGCTAATGATGCTGCATAGACATACCCACAGCTCCCAATCTAACAGTCCATTCCCTACTCCCAGTCGAGTTGAAAAACTGCAGTTATGCTTATAATAGCTGTTGTTGTCCTTTCAGAGTGAGCACTTATCTGTCCAAAACATTTAGCATGGCCAGGATGATGTCCTTGCAAGTTTCAACTTCCAAAGTGAGCCCAGTGCAATTGGTAAATCGACAGGCAAGGCTGCCTATAGAATGATTTGAGAGGCAGTGTAGTGTAGTGGTTAAGAGTGGTACAGGGGCTGGTACACCTGGGCCCAAAGAAAGATCTTGTGCCACCCTCGAAGGCCCGCTGTGACGACTTCGCCAAGCATTTCAGGGAGAAAATCGCTCAGATTCGTCACGAGCTGGACTCTACCAGTGAATCAGATTCTACTGGGGAGGTGCCAATGTTGCTGTCTGGTCCACAATTGATGGATGAGTTTCAGTTGCTGAGGCCTGATGATGTGGACAAAGTGCTTGGACAAGTACGTCCTACCACCTGCTTACTGGACCCTTGCCCATCTTGGCTACTCAAGAAAGCCAAGGACGGGATTGGGACCTGGATCCTGGAGGTTGTCAGCACCTCTCTGAGGGACGGCCGGGTACCTGCCCCTTTAAAGGAGGCGGTAGTCCGGCCAGTCCTAAAGAAGGCATCCCTGGATCCAGAGGTGGCCGCCAATTATAGACCGGTGGCCAACATCCCGTTCTTGGGAAAGGTGTTAGAGCGGGTGGTGGCGGGACAACTCCAAGCACTCTTGAATGAAACTGATTATCTGGACCCATTTCAGTCTGGCTTGACCCAGGTACGGTACTGAATGTGCATTGGTCGCCCTGTATGATGACCTGCACAGGGAGACAGACAGGGAGTGCGTCCCTGTTGGTTCTCTTGGACCTCTCAGCGGCTTTTGATACCATCGACCATGGTATCCTTCTGGATAGGCTTGTGGGATTGGGAGTTGGAGGCACTGCTTTGCAGTGGTTCCACTCCTATCTCAATGGCCGATTCCAGAAGGTGGTGCTGGGGGACTATGGCTCTGCGCCATGGCAGTTATGCCATGGAGTTCCGCAGGGGTCCATTTTGTCCCCCTTGCTATTCAACATCTACATGAAACCACTGGGAGAGGTCATCAGGAAGTGTGGGCTGCGGAGTCATCAGTACGCTGATGATACCCAGCTCTACCTCTCGTTCT